CTCTAGGAGATATTCAAGACCAGCCACCAGGCCAAGCCTCAGAGCAGTGCTTCGGCAATGCTTCAGCAACAGCAGGTGATGTGGGTAGTTACTGTCCTGCTTCTCCTCTGCATAGCTATAAGTCAAAGCTGCATGGCCTCACAGCTGCATAACCCATGCGGGTATGAGTGGGGGCCTAGGGGACATCACCTGATCCAACAACCTTAATGTTACTTCTGAGGGTACCTGAGACCCCAGAAGGTGAAGCAGCTGGCTAAGGTGATGTTTTGACTTAGTGAGAGAGATATTGTAAGTCGGAACCCAGGTCTCCTGTGCCCTGGCAGGCTATACCCTCCACTCTCTCTTTTTTTTCTTTTTTTGAGACAGAGTCTCACTCTGCCACCCTGGGTAGAGTGCAGTGGTATAATCCTAGCTCACTGCAACCTCAAACTCCTGGGATCAAGGGATCCTCCTGCCTCAGCCTCCCAAGTAGCTGGGACTACAGGTGCACACCACCACACCCAGCTAATTTTTGTATTTATTGTAGAGACAAGGTCTTATTCTTGCTCAGGCTGGTCTTGAACTCCCAACCTCAAGTGAACCTACTGCCTCCCAGAGAGCTAGGATTACAGTCATGAGTCACTGTAATCCTAGCACTGCCCTGATCTCTTGATAAACCATTGTCTCCTATAGCATCTCTCTTCAAAAAATCGCGTTAGATAAGGCTTCTTTGCCACACCCTCCCGTCTCCCCTCTTCTCCCCTCCCATAGCCATATACATTTAGAACCAACACAAAACCAAATTCCCTTTAGGTCTGGAGATCCAGCAGCCCTTAAAAAGTGAAAAACTTTCATTTCTGTCACCCATTGGTGAGGTGCAGGAGGTGTGAGGGGTCTGAGCAATAGCCCTAATTCTGACATACTCACACTCATGCTGCTGTGATGGCTTTGTGTACACGTCCTTCCCTTTTCTAGGGACAAAGGAACCACTCAATTAATATATGACAGTTCTAGAATACCAGAGGCTAACATTCCAGAGTTTTGTGCCACAGCCTAGAAACAGAGAGGATATCTTTTACGATATAGAGGCTGGTAGCTCTTCAGAAGCAGAAAGTGGGTTTTCTCTATGGTTTAGAAAGCAGGAAAAGACAGTCAATAGAAATAGGCCAACTTGACATGGCCTGACCATGCAGTTCTACAGCTCCACCCCGTTTGTGAAGCACTTCCCAGACTGCCTCTTAGCAAACTTGGGAGGTGTAAGTGGGAACGATACTTTCGACACCCAAATGTGGGAGCTGGGCCCCAGGACAAACACTCCATTCGGCCTTTACAATAAGCTTGGAAGGTAGTTATGATTTGTACACGTGAAAAATAGAAGCTCAGAGAAATGGCACCACCTTCCTGAGATCCTATAACTCACTAACAGGGTGGGGATGGTGATGGAGGGGGAGTGGCAAGGGTTATTTATTAATAACTTCAGGCTAAAGTAGAACTACCTTTTGACTGAGCAATCCCACTACTGGGTATTTACCCAAAGGAAAAAAAAGACATTTTATGAAAAAGACACCTGCACTGTAATGTTTATAGCAGCCCAATTCACAATCACAAAGATGTGGAAACAATCCAAGTGCCTATCAATATATGAGTGGATTAATAAAATGTGGTATATGTATATCATGGAGCACTAGTCAACCATAGAAAATGGTGAACTATTACCTTTTGTAACAACCTGGATGGAACTGGAGACCATCCTTGTAAGTGAAGTGTGGAAAAAATGGAGAAACAAACACCACATGTACTCACTACTAAATTGGAACTAATTGGTTAACACTCATGTGCACATATGGTAGTAAAATTCCATGGAAATCAAGCAGGTAGGAGGGAGGAGGAGGGGATGGGTACATTCACACCTAATGGGTACAATGCACACTAACAGGGTGATGGACACACATAACTTTGACTCAAACTGGATGAAAGCAATTCATGTAACCAAAACGTTTGTACCACTGTAATATTCTGAAATAAAAAAATTAATTAATTAAAAAAATTAAAAAATAAATGTCAGGCTACTTTGCAAAGCCAAGCAACTTGCAGCTTGTCTCTGAAAAGTAGCCTTTTTTTTTTAGGAAGTACAGCTAGTTGCAGAGCAGATTTTACAGCGGTTTGAGGGGATGAGTCAGGTAGGACACCAAATGTTATTTGAAGGTCTTAGAAGATATTTCCAGATTCCAGACACCACTGAACCTAATGAAGTCCTTGTAAAGAAAAGTGGAACTTCTCCTTTTAGTAAAAACTTCTGCCCTCAACATCTGGGAGATTCATATTAAACCTCTAGATCTTTTGCGTGAGAAGATTTCACTGGATTTAGATTATAGAAGAGCCACAAAATAATGCTTACCGTAAGCACTCCAGGTGAGAAGGAAAGGAAAGGCACACCACGGGGCATGGGGAACACTTATTTAGGAAGGATCTTAGGCTGTCTTGACCCATAAACCAAGTCTTTACAAGTCAGGCAACATGACCCACGGGGCTAGAGAAGAAGAATCCTAGAACTACAGGCTGAATCTATTCATGTCAGCTTAGCAATGATGGATCAGAAAGAAAGCAGGTGAGACATCCCTCCCTAGAGTGAACAACAGGGCAGAGGTTGTGAGGGCATGCAGTGGGCAAAAATAAGTCTGCGATAGACTGACCTTTAGCTTCCCACATGGCAGAACTGACTTTGAAGTTTATCCTTCTATGGAGATATGAGAAGGAAGGGGCAAAGTTCCTAACAAGGGTACCATTATCAGCCATCAGAATTACATACCCTCCCTTTTCCTGGTTATCTGATATTTCAAAAGGCTAATGGCACCCAAAGTACAGATTATTGGGCAGTAATCTAAGGTTCTCATGCCAGATCATCTCTGAAGACCTTCTAGATAGATGACCATGATGGTCAACATCATTGAGCACTTCCTGTGTGGTGGCAGCACTGTACTAAGAGCTTTGTCTGCAATATTTCATTAAATTTCATAGCAACTCTATGAAAAAGTCATTACTGTTATTTGGAAGAAGAGGAAAGTCTAAGAGAGGCCAAGTAACTTGCCCAAGGTACACAGCCAATAGTTGGTCAGGTTTCAGAGTCTGATTTTGAGCTCAGCAAGAGCTTCCAAAGAGCATTTAAGAATCAGATGGAGCACTCTGGGAGGCTGAGGTGGGCAGATATCTAAAGGTCAGGAGTTTGAAACCAGCCTGAGCAAGAGTAAGACCCCATCTTTACTAACAAAATAGAAAGAAATTAATTGGCCAACTAAAAATATAGTGAAAAAATTAGCCGGGCATGGTGGTACATGCCTGTAGTCCCAGCTAATTGGGAGGCTGAGGCAGAAGAATTGCTTGATCTTAGGAGTTTGAGGTTGCTGTGAGTTAGGCTGACACCATGGCACTCTAGCCCGGGCAACAGAGCCAGACTCTGTCTCAGAAAAAAAAAAAAAAAAAAAAAAAGAATCAGATGGAAAGTGAAAAGGTCCTAGAGAGAGGTATTGGCTTAGATTCCCAGGACTGTCAACAATCCCATAGGAAACATCACTGTCTCCCAGGGAAAAGTAGCTCCGAGTGACTATTTAAACCTGCACTGTTCAATACTGTAACCACTACCCACATGTGGCTACTGAACTCTTGAAATGAGGCCACTTTGAATCGAGATGTGTTTAAGTACAAAATACACACCACATTTCAGAGATGTAGTCTGAAGAAAATAACATAAAATCTCAATTTTTAACATTGATTACATGTCAAAATGATAATATTTAGCATATTCTCAGTAAATATTCTTAGCTGCTCTTTCTACTCTTTTAAATGTGTCTGCTGGGAAATCTTAAATAGCATATGTGGCTCACATTACTTTTTGGGAACGATGCTGATTTAGAAACCAGAGGTTCTTTGACTTAATGCCTACAGGCTGTAAGCAAAAGGTGGTGTTGCCTAGTGGCAGCAGTCAACGTGTTGTAACTGCTCCGGGCGAATTTTTAATTTTTCTTTCCAATAACCAGCCAGAGCTTCAACATCCCATTTAATGCTGGAAAGCTAAATACGTGCGTACATGTATATGTTAGAAGCTATAAATCCAGACATCTTCAGAAACCTGTAACAGTGCTGTCTTTTACCTGTTTCTCTGGTTTCTGTAGCGGCAGTGATCTGTTCCTTTGTGTTAACATGGCATCCATCCAACAGAGTTTATGACCTTTTGTCTGAAGCAACAGTCCCTTACTATAAAACTGCTACCATTTACTGGCCATTGTTGCATGCCTGGCATCACGCTGTGAACTTTACATCTATTATTTCATTTAAGCCTCGCATAAGGTCGTCAGGGTAATTACGAATGAGGAGATTGGGTTCAGACAAGACATGGCTTGTCCAAGCCAGTTTTTCTCATTTCAAAACCTGTGCTCCCAGGCATTCTGCGACATTGCCTCCTACAGGAGGGTCGTGGTGAGAAGCCGTGGCTTCTATGTCATAGATGGGGGAAGGATGGCACCCCTCCCTCCTCACCAAGCTTTTGGGGATATCATCTTCTGCTGTGCAGCCTTGGTTTCCCAGGCCCACCGTGTGGGGAGAACCGCACGGAGCGCCCGGCTACCCGAAGCGCCCGGCTAGTGAGCTCGTTGAGAGCCTTTAGCAGGAGCAGGGAGGAAATAAATGCCAGGAAGTAGGAGGGCTTCTGGTCTCTCCAGACAAGAAGCTGAAGAGGGTGGAGGCGTCAGAAGGGACATCCTGCCTCACTTGATTTTTTAAATTTTATTTTTATTTTATTTTTTAAGACAGAGTCTTGCTCTGTTGCCCAGGCTAGAGTGCCGTGGCGTCATCATAGCTTGCTGCAACCTCAAACTCCTGGCCTCCAGCCATCCTTCTGCCTCAGTCTCTGGAAAAGCTGGGACTACAGGTGCACGCCACTAAACCATGCTAATTTTTGTATTTTTTGTAGAGATAGGGTCTCACTGTTCCTCAGGCTGGCCTTCAACTCCAGACCTCAAGCAATCCTCCTGCCTCAGCCTCCCAGAGTGCTAGCATTACAGGTGTGAGCCACCACACCCGGCTCTGCCAACTCTAGATGTCTATCACCAGAGAGAAGCTCCAAGCCTAGCATCACTCGGGGCACTGATGGACACACAAGGAGAAACGTGTTCTATGAGTCAAAAGTGTGTCATTTCACAAGATCAGGAAAATGGGCTCCACATGTACTCGCCATCAAATTGGTACTGACTGATTAAAACTATGGTGCTCAAATGGTGGTGGTGTTCACCAGGGATTGGGGGGGGGGGAGACCCACATCTTATGGATGTGGTGAGCGTTGTGGAGGGGAAGGGCATACCTCTAACCCTTCTTAGGGACAGGCAAAGATATAAAATGTAACCAAAATGTCAAAAAAAAAAAAGTTTATCGGGTGTCGGGCAGGTGGGAGGGGGAGGATGGGATGAGTGTATACTTACGTAATGAGTGCAATGCGCACCACCTAGAGGATGGACACGCTTGAAGCTCTGACTCGGGGAGGGGGGGTGGCAAGGGCAATATATGTAACCTTAACAATATTTGTACTCCCATAATATGATGAAATTAAAAAAAAGTTTGTCATTACCAAGAAAGATGTATTAGGACACATTCTTTAGTCGTTCAGTGTCTGGGACACTGTGACAACAAAGGTATTCTTGGAAAACTTCAAATTTTATGGAAAGTGGCTTAGGAATTAATGACATTACTCTTAATCATACAGTGTCTTTGAATATTGAGTACCTGGAACAGGCAGTCGCCTGTCCTTCTTGCTCCCTGCAGGAAGTTTTTGCTTTTCATGCTAAGGCTTTATAAAGAGCAGAGGGGAGGAATAGTTAACTGGGATGTAGGAGTGAAGACTAGAAAGTAAATATTCAGAAATCTGGCATTTATGCCAGGCCAACCTGCTAAACTTCAAATTATATTGGTAGCCAGGAAAAAACTCGATTGTTTTAAGTATTGATTAGAAGCCCTAGATTTTCAGAAGTAATCACTCGCATGTTAAAGACTCATTTCTTGTGCACACAGGTGTGAAAAGGAGCCGATGTTAGCAACACAGGATAAATATCAGATGGTCGAAGGACACAGGAGACAGGTTGGCCTCCCACGATGGAGGAATTCTCTTCCCCTTGCACAAAATTTTTCAGAAACAAGATCAGAGTGTTCTCATTAGCTAACCAAGCCTGGAGCCACACTTAACCTTCTAGGAGTAGCATGTGCACGGTTACCCAAAGGAGTGGCTTTTGAATCCCAAGGAATTCGCTTTGTCGCAGGCAGACTTAAGACACTTGATCTCTCAGTTTGAACTTAACTCCACTTTCCTATGGGATGGTTGGTACCCAGTGTGCTATGCCTCCAGGCATGTTCCTGTTAGGAATCTGTAGGCCAGACCTCAGAAGAAGCTTGCTAACATCACCCCCCATCCCCTGCCCACCCGGCCAGGAGTACAGTGTTCGGGTAGTTAGGGGTTCACCGGAGTCCTAAGATCTTAGGGCAAGAAGCTGATAAAGTAAGACGTGTCTGCCCTCTGCCATTTCCCCACTTCACAGATAAGCAGACTGAGGCTCAGGTGCAGTCCTACTGACCTGGGGAAGCCTGGAGTGCATCTGTCTCCGGGAACACACCGCGAGACGTGCGAGGATGTGAGCAGGTGCTCCTCACTGTCTCCCAAGCAGGCCAGGCACCTTTTCCTGCCTCTTACCTGCTCCCTGGAGGAGAATTAGAACCCACACCTTCCCAACCTTCACTTTTCCTCTAAACCTGATCAGGCCGCTGGTTTACAAATGGAAGGGAGGCGGGGGCAAGCAGATGGGGAGGAAGGGCAGCTGGGGACACACTGGAGGTGTTACTGCAAGCCCACCATCCTGGATACAGCTACCCTTATCTCATCTCCAATGCTGAACAGCTGGCCCCGTATCTGGTTTATGGGCTAGGCCGGTTAGCACTGAGGACACCATAAATCAGGCAGAAAAAAACCCTCCCTCTGTAATAGTCTCTTTAGGAAACGGAGACGGGATAAAGTAGGTAGGAATTAAAGAGCACCTCACTGGAATAGGAGGCCACGCTTCGAACCCCTGGTGGCCAAGCGCAGATGACTTTTGTTCCAAAGCATCATCAGATGAAATAACGTGGCTTCTCTCAACCCTACTGGTAACTTCTAGCCATACGGGTCCCCTAGAAGGGAGGAGGGCTGGAGAAGCAAAGTGGAAGACAGCAAACTGGCTCCTGCAGACACAGTCCCTACTACAACCCCCCAGCCTGGTTTAACCTCAGGCCTTTCCACTCCAGCCCATCAAGTGCATCACACAAATTGGGCTTGTAACTATGGCAACGGTTTTCCACCCGGTGATGGCTGTTACCTGGACCACTGCATCTCTGTTTCTGATCGCAATGAAGAAAGGGAAGGGGCTGAGCTCAGCAGAGAATAATTAGGGCCTACAGAGGGAAGCTGGGAGTCTAGGAGTGTGGGGGCCCAGGCCAGTGGGGCTGCTCTTGACCTAAGGAATTAAGACAGCACAAGTTTAACCACCTGTACTTTCCTTCCATGAGTACAAATCTGTAGGGTTTATTTTTAATTAAAATGTTCACTTTTCTTCCTTATTGCAAAGGCATGAAGAGCAAAAAGTATGAAAATTAAGATAAGCAAAGCAAAGAAAAAACCACTCATAATTCCTATCACACAAAGAGAGCCACTTTTAGTGGTTTGGTGTATGCGATCTTTTGTATGCAATGTTTTGTGCATTAAAAAATACAACTAAGGCCGGGCGCTGTGGCTCACGCCTGTAATCCTAGCTCTTGGGAGGCCAAGGCGGGCGGATTGCTCAAGGTCAGGAGTTCAAAACCAGCCTGAGCAAGAGCGAGACCCCATCTCTACTATAAATAGAAAGAAATTAATTGGCCAACTGATATATATATAAAAAATTAGCCGGGCATGGTGGCGCATGCCTGTAGTCCCAGCTACTCGGGAGGCTGAGGCAGAAGGATCACTCAAGCCCAGGAGTTAGAGGTTGCTGTGAGCTAGGCTGACGCCACGGCACTCACTCTAGCCTGGACAACAAAGCGAGACTCTGTCTCAAAAAAAAAAAAAAAAAAAAAAAAAAAAAAAATACAACTAAATGTTTTCTAGTGTGCTTCCTCACTTAACGCTGTGGATATTTTTCTAAGTGAATAAATATACATCTAAGATGTCATTTTTAACAAGTGCATGCTACTTAGTTGTATGGATTCACTACCTAGTATCTATCCAGGCCCCTACTGTTAGATATAAAATTTGCATTTAAGTTTTAACCATTAGAAATAACACTGGTTAAATCTGATCATATGATTTTATTTCTTTAGGATAAATTCCCCAAATCAGAATTTATCTTCTTATCATTTATCATCTTATCACTTTGAGGAAGACCCCATTATAATTTTATCCCCATTTTACAGATCAGAAGATGAAGGCGCAGAGAGGGGAAGTGATATGTCCCAGGTCACATAACTAACACGTGATACAGTCAGAATTCCAGCCCAGGCCATCTGACGACATCTGTGTGGTTTCCATGATTCTTATTTTACCAGTGGAGAGGGACAGAGGGGTCATGTGACTTGCTCAGGAACATGAAGTTTGTCAGTGATGTCATGGGATTAATAACCAGGGTCTTGCAGATGCCCTATTCTGGCCTCTTTCTGCAAGACTGCTGCTTCTAGATCATGTTAAGACAGATTCTGAAAAGGGAGGGCTTGGATTAATTAATAGCACTGAATAGAAGGCAAGCTGTGATCCCCAAGGAATTCTATACTATCATATAAGTTTGTGGCATGAGTGGTCAGGAGGCTGAGCCTCTCAGAGTTCTGCAGTGATACCGGTGTTAGCTGCCATCCATGGCTCCCAGGACAGGTCTCGAGGCCCCACTTGAATCTGGGCTCTGTTTGGGGGTTGGATGCCACGCTGACCACCCAGCACTAGTTCTGATGCTGTTTGCCAGTGTACTGGTGACATGGCTTGAGGCTGCTAAATTCACTGTAGGCTTCCAGGCTCCCTGGAACATCTCCCATCCATTCAGTGTGCAAAGGCTGGGTGCAGGCCTCCAGATTGCCATGGACAAGGTCAACTCCGAGCCAGCGGACTTTGGAAACCTCAGCCTGGAGTTCACTTACACCAACTCAGCCTGCAGCACCAAGGAGTACCTTGCTATTTTTATCAACCAGGTCCAGAGAGAACAGATTTCTGCCCTGTTTGGACCGGCATGCCCAGAAGTAGCAGAGGTAGAGTATGTAAAGTTCTAGAAATTTTGGCTGAGTTTCCACTGGAAGGGGTGGTCTTAAAGATGATGGCACAGATGTGAATAATCTCTTGACAAGGATCACATTTTTATAACAATAACCATGTTGATCTTGGGTACCTTTTTGTTGAGATGTAATTATCCCATGCAATTAGAATAGTTAACATTCTCTTTAAAGAAAACCTTTCAAATCAATAATTGTTAGTTGCCTCACCCTCTTCCTCTTTCTGTTGATTATTTGAACTTGGTGCTATTGTGCATAGACTGTAATTAATCACTCTTATGTCACCAGCTATGTGGCTCAGAAAAATTAAGAAGAAAACAAATGCTTGGTTTTAAATAGAAAACTATCAAGTGTTTGAGTAGATTTTTCTCTGGTGTGTATAACAAATTATCCAGTGATGGTGAAAGTAAATGGAAAAGAATAAAGTATGATAGATTACATAAACTAGAGCAAGAAAATGAGGGAAACGAATGATTTGCATTTGTTTGGTTAGTGGGATGAGCTTTGTTGGTGTCTTTGAGCCTCATACTGTCTCAGATGTTGATGTAAAGGCTAAATAGGAACAAGCGTCACTGGTCTCGCTCTCAGAAATATTGCAAAGCTGTCACTAGTTGGAGCTGTAGAATTAAGTTCACATTTGATTTTGAATCTTGGTCTCTCCCTATTTGACACATTTTAAGCTGCCCGAAGCCTACTCATTCTTCAAAGTCAAGCTCAAATGCCATGGAGCTTTTCTTCATCTCTTCACTCCCATCCCCTATACCCCCAATTTCCCAACCGGAAGTAACTTCTTCCTTCTCTAAACTCCTATAAATCTATTGTTTATAAATCTTGAAGGGCATATTTAACTCTAGTGTTATTTTCATATACTTTAGTTCTTGTAATAAACCATGTGCTCCTTTAAGAGCTAGGTCTCCAAAGTCCCTTGTGGTCTCCTAATGAAAAATGAATGAGAAATGAACAAGGAATACCTTAAGAAAGAAAGACAGAGAGAATGAGTAGCTGTGGGTGTGGGCTGGGGAACCATATTGCCTGAATTTCAATCCTGCTCCACTGCTTGCTAGCGATCTAACTTATGTCTTTGTGTCTTCATGTTTGATTGTTAAAGGGAGGAGGGGTAATTAAAATAACTACCTTATAGAAATCTAAAAGCTGAAATGATAGATGTAAGCTCCAACTAGAGCACTTGGCACATAGTAAGCACTCAATTAATACTCACTTTTGCTATTTTTGTCCTCTGAGGTCTTGTATCCGCAAGGTGGATCCAAGACAGTATCATCAACATTCCAAAAGAGGGAGTCCAGTATGACCCATAGACTCAACTCTCTGAATCTGAGCTTTATGAAGATACCTTACAATGGGGATTGAGTGTTCATAAACTCAGTTATGGAAAGACATCGTTTTGGTTCCTTTCTAGGTTATTGGTTTGTTGGCCTCTGAGTGGAACATCCCCATGTTTGACTTCGTTGGACAAATGGCAAAGCTGGAAAACCACATCCTGTATGACACCTGTGTGAAACTTGTGCCACCCACGAAGGACATCGGTCATGTACTCCGGAAAAGTCTCCAGTACCTGGGCTGGAAACACATTGGGATGTTTGGAGGCTACTCTGGGACTTCCTCCTGGGATGGAGTAGATACATTGTGGGGGGTCGCAGAGCATGAACTCAAATCCCATTTCACTCTCACTGCCAGCATGAGATACACCAGCAACAGTCCAGTTCTCCTTCAAGAGAATCTTAGGAGTGTGTCATCAACTGCCAGGGGTAAGTAGGAAAAAGCCTTTTGTCACTTATGTTTGGGGGGACAAATAGGGCAAGCAGATTGGAAGAAACATAAGAACTCCTCCTTTTTCCATAGGTATAAAATGCAGACTGAAGCAGAGTACAAACTGATCTCATTCTTTGCTTGATATCAACAATGAAAACTTAGTGGGGTTTTTTTGTTTTTTTTTTTTTTGGTCTAAAGTTAAGTCCCAGATGTTGTAGTGTTATGATGCACAGAGTTAGTTCTGGAAGCATCTTCCGGGTGGGCTGGGTCCTGGACTTTGTTCAGAGCATGGGCTCTGTGGATAGACAGACTTAGGTTTGAATCCAGCCTTTGACACTGTCTAGCTGTGTCCTCCTGGGCAAGTACCTTAGCCTCTCTGTGCCCTAAATACTTTATCTGTATAATGGAGATAATCATCCTACCTACCTCATAGAAAACTGAGAATTGAGTAAAGGTCTTCCTGTGAAGTGCTTTGCACAGTGTCTAGACAAGCAGTTGGCCAATATAAGACAGTTCTTCAAATGAACTAAGCTCTTTCTGGCCTTGGGACTTTGGGGCTTGCCGCTCCCTCAACCTGGAGTATCACCTGCAGCCACACACCACCTACCCAGCACTCCTTCTGTGGGCAGCTTCCTCTCATCCTTCCAGACTCGGCCTGGAGCCCACCTCCTCAGAGAGACCTCCTTTCCCTAGCATTCCCCCTCACTGCCTTAGTATCATGGCATCCTTTCCCTCCTTCACTCCTTAGAATCTTAAAATAACTCTTTAATCTGTTCACTTGTATACTGTCTGCCTTCTGGCTTGCTCACTGCCGTATCCTGTGCCTAGCACAGTGCTGGCACATGGTTGCTGCTCAGATAAATAGCTTATAATTTACTTAATTAAAAAAATAAATCACTGCTTCATTTGTGTGTCCTAAAATGAATGACGATGTGATTGAATGCAAGGGAAGTACATGGCTTAGTCCCCCCCCATCCCCCAGCCCCCAGTCCAACTCAGAAAGTCCAAAGGCCCTTGATTCTAGGTCCGCCATGGACTCCTCCTAACTGATGTGTGCCCGACAAGTCACAAGCTAGGTCCGCTCTTCTGATTTTTGAGTCAATTATATGAAAGAAACTAGAGCACAGGGACAATCTCAAATTTTTCATCTTGTTCATTGTAGGGGAGCTGCAGCAAAGACTTTAGTTCTGCGAGGCAAAAGGCACCCATTTGTATATTGCAGGCTTGGTTCCAGAAGTAAACACTTGGGGAATAGTTTAGGCATTCCTGTTTCCCAAAGCATGCCCAAGGAAAGAAGTTTCATTTAGAGTGGTTTTAGGCTAGACTTTAAAAAGAGACTGTGTGTGCGGGCACATACACACACAAGCATGTGCAATTGCCTGACTCTGTGTTTCATTCTTATAGTTATCATCTTAATCTGCAGCTCAGAGGATGCAAAAATTATTCTGCTGGCTGCAGAGAACCTGGGACTCAACACCGGAGATTTTGTCTTCATCATCCTGCAGCATTTGGAGGTGGGCGCTGTTGACCATTCAAGGCTCTGGTAGCGGGAGGTAATGAGTATGGAGCACTTGCTATAAACCAGAGGGTATTAGCTTCCTGAACACCCACTGCAACCCTAGGAGGTAGGCACTCTGGGGTCCTCATCATAAAATTCGGAGACTAAGACTGAGCTGGAAGAACTTACCCAGAATTCTCTTGCACAGCTGGTGAAAGGATGAGCCAGGCCTTGAATTAGGTCAGCAAACACCAGCCGAAGAACTATTTTTACCTGGTAGTTGAGACCTTCCAACACAACTCTCAAACCCAGTGGCTCTCACTTCTTTTTCTTCTACAGCCACCTCCTTGTGTCCCTGCTGAAGCTCTAACAAAGGCCTGGAGAGACCAACATACTGGTCCAATGAGGCAATTGTTAGGTGGTTTGATTCTTTTGGTACTGATGGGAGTGGCTACGATACCATGTGCTTACTATGAGTCTTGAGTCACATATTTCACATGCATTATTGCAATTGATATTCCCAACAGCTCTGTGAGGCACATTGTAATACACATGCATGTAAATTCTGCACTTGATGTTTTCAACGGACTTGGCAGGTAGATATTATTAGCATTCCAACTTACAGAAAGAAAAATCAAGGCTTAGATAAGTAAGGTTCCTTACCTAGGATCTCAGAGCTCCCAAGTAGCATAGCTGGTCTTCCAGGAGAGGAGGAAGTGCTGGGCTCCTTTACCCCCTCATCAAGTGCAGTAATGCATGGAAATAATGCATATAATATTAGCCTCTCAGGGCTATTGTGTCTGCGCATGTAACCACCACATTACATTAGCAGGCATCTAAAAAAGCCACTTGCTTTTTGCTAGGGTTACACTGTACTATTTTTCCAGCAGTTTTATCTTTCTAAAATGAGCTCATTTTATATGATCACAAGAAGCTGAAACTAGGACACAAGGGAGTAAAGGAAGCTGATATTAATGTCCCAGATATCCCTTTCTATATTATGATTTTTTTTTGAGACAGGGTCCCACTCTGTCCACTGGGTTAGAGTGCAGTGGTGCCATCATAGCTCACTGCAACCATAAACTCCTGGGCTAAAGTGATCCTCTTGCCTTAGCCTCATGAGTAGCTGAGATTACAGGTGTGCACTACCACACTGGCTAATTCTTTTCTGAAAAAATTTTCATAGAAATGTGGGTCTTGTTATTGCCCAGGTTGGTCTTGAATTCCTGGCCCCAAAGTGCTAGGATTACAGGCATGAGCTACCATACCCGGCCATATATCATGAAATATTTTGGAGCACCAAAAGTATCTTGGTTTCTTTGAGTGGCCAGCTGGAATTCTAAACTCAATTCAGACTTTCCAGAGTGTCCTCCTACCTTCCTTTTTCTTGCTACCCACCTCCATTTCTGTTCACTTTCCCCTTCATCTCTGCCTTTGGGTGGATGAAGAGAGGACAGGAGGGGCCACATCTCAGTATCACCAGGGAAGCCCTTCCAAGCCCCTGTTGCTCATTCCCCAAACCTCGATGATACAATTCCAATTGGTGTAAGGTGGCACAAAGAAGATAGAACTAAAACTACACCACACAACGTCCAGGCAATTGAATTCATGCAGCTTGAAGAAAGAATAGCATAAATCCATTTTATAAAATTGTTCCCAGTGTAGGTTTAGGTAGGAAAAAACCAAGCTATAGAACAAAAGTATAGTGCCATGCAATTTATGCAAAACTCAATGTGTGGGTATATATTATTCATAATAGTAATGATATAGCTGATAATGCTAACAAAGCACTTAAGCCACAAAGCAGAAAAGTATCCCGACCTTTCCAAGTTTCCACACTTGCCATTTTTGTTTGTTTATTTTCCCCCCTGCCCCACTGTTTATATGCCAGCTAGAAAATGTGGACCTTGCATTGCAGCCCTTCTGGAATCATTGTGTTTTTCCCAGCACTAGAATGTAGTGGTTCAAATTCCACAAATTCCACATTGCCTTAAATGTGCTTCCGTTGCCCAAGTTATTTCCTGTAGAATGGTGACATTTATTTTATTACGTTTTAGGACAGTTTTTGGAAGGAGGCATTGACAAATCAGAAGATGACCCACTTCCCGAAAGTCTATACGTCAGTGCTTCTCATCGCCCTGAGCTCCTACGGAGAAGGGCGAGAGGGCTTCCGGGAACAAGTGTACCAGAGGCTGAGGGGGCCGCCCTTCCGCAGCACGATCTCCTCGGAGGAGCAGGTCTGACGCGGGGGCTTCCTACACAGGCCCCACCTCCCCTTCTGTGACCATACTTGTGTTTGGCTTCTGCGTATCTCCCCCTTATTTTCCCTCGCCCTTCCCCACCACCCCTTACACATGCACACGTACACACACACACACACACACACACACGCACATGCAAAACACACACACACTTTCCCACCTTCCATGCTCAAAATAAACAACAGCTTGATGCTCTCTTGTGAAATCAGTAACCCAGGACCACAGAGGAAAACTGAGGTTACTGGGTGAAAGGCCACTGGCTTTTGGAATCATAGACCTGGGCTCCCATCCTGCTTCTGCTATTTGCTAACTGTGTGACCTTGGAACAAATTGCTTAACCTCCTTATACCTCAGATTCTTCATCTATTAAATGGGCCTGAGAATGGCATCCCCCTCCCAGGCTGGGGTTTTGAGTATCTAATAACATAATACAAGCAGATGGCAGAACAGACACCAAACGGTAGTCAGACCACGACAGTTTTTCTGATCAGGGAGATGAGGACTGCCAATCGAGATGGCGCAGTCAGAGGCGTGGAGCTAGGACAGGCCCGGGCAAGCAGATGGGCTGGCACAGGTTGAGGACTATGGGGAGAGGGGTTATCAGCCAGTGCTTATCTCAGTATGTGTGGGATGATGAGGCAAAGCCTCTGGCTCCCACAGAATGTTTATTCTAGAGAGACTTTTGTCCAGAGTTGGAGCTCTTTCTAGGGTAAGGCCAAGTGGAGCTCTAGGGTGACAACAGGCCACTGATGACAGGGGGTTGGATTAGGAATGACGGGGACAACTGTGGATCCCAACACACAAGACAGGAAGACAAAAGAACATTTGTGGAGCCATCTACTAAGTGTCAGCTCTGCACCGTGCACCATGCACCGGGCAACCGTGCCTGGCACTTGTGTTTTCATTGACTAAACCAATAGAAGACATCATGGGTTAAACACCTACTACGGGCCAGGTACTACAATAGGTAGTTTACCTATTCTGCCTCACCTAACTGTCATCATACTCACCCTAACAGTGGTATTATCCCCATTTCATGAACAAGCGAGCTGAGATTCAGAGGGATTCAGAGACATTACAGAACTTACTCCTGGTTTCGTAGCTGTAGGTAGCAGAGCCGGCCTAGCTCCTATATCTACCCTCTTTTACTTAAACCATATTCCCTCCCAACTGTGGCCTAAAGAGCTGTTCCTGAAGGATCTTGTGATCTAACTGGGAAATGAGACATCAATAGGAACGTGAAGACGGTGATGTCCAGACATAGCACAGGAGCGGGCATGTGGTGGCCCCCGCTCTGCTGGGCAGAGGAAGAACGTGTGTTACTTTCTGTTCCACGGTTAAGAGGGCGGAGAGAGATGCCTCCCAGCTAAGTGCTGCATGGTGACCCAGAAGGCCATGGGCCTCTTTAAACCCCATGTCTGTGTCTCTTATCCAAGGTGAGCCCGTATTCTGCCTACCTCCACGACGCCATCCTGCTCTACGCTCAGACAGTGCAGCGGGTGGCACAGGCCGGCGGGGACGTCCTGGATGGGCGGCAGCTGGTCAGCAGCCTACAAGGTTCCAATCGGACTGTGATGCGGGGTAAGTGGCCTGACTGCTGGGTGTTCTGAACTCAGGCCGGCTGCTCCGATCCCTGGGGGCTCTGAGATGCTGGGCATGCGGCTGAAGGCCTCTTTTAGGGCCTGCCCGACACCGAGCTACAGAATTCTCTTTCTCGTGGAAATTCTGGTCTCCCATAGGGTGGTTGAGGTCAGACCTCTGGGCTGCCACAGTCCATTCATCCTGCTCTGCCCAGAAGGCAGCCCAGCACCAGGTGAGGGGGCCTCTGGACACCTTATCCCCTCCCTGCATGGAAAGTCTCCCAGATAGCTCCTTTCAAACTAAATCCACCAAGAATAAAACTCAAAGCTGGGCACAGTGGCTCATGCCTATAATCCTAGCACTTTGGGAGGCTGAGGTGGGAGGATCACTTCAGCCCAGGAATTCAAGGTTAACGTGAACTGTGATTGGGCCACTGCACTTTTGCCTGGGTGACAAAGAGATCCTGTCTCTTAAAAAAAAAAAAAAAAGGAAAAAAAAGAAGAAGAAGACAACTCAAGAATGTGAGACCTGCCTCCTAGGGTCACTTCCATGACCCTTCCCACCTGTGGCCTTTGCGCTGAGGGCCCTGGCATCACAAACCTCTAAAGATGGGGTCTGATTTCATTTTTACTTTCCTTTTGGGGTTGAGTATAAACCTGGGAGTGAACTGCTTTGAAATCACTCTCAGAGCTGACCAACTCCTTTGATCTTTCTTGTTCCAGTTTTCTTATTTGTAAGACAGAGATAACACCTGCTATCACATACAATAATAATAATAACCAGCATTTAGGGAAGGCTCACCTTACACCAAACCAAATGCCAAGAGCGTGTGTATATTACCTCATTTAATCCCTCACAACCCAGGAGGCAGGTACGCCTACTATGCAGGGAGTAAACCAAGGGCGCAAAGGTTATGTAGCTTGTCTAAGGTCACAGAGTTATTGGACAGTGGAGCCAGGAGTCAAAACAAGGCCTGCCTTCTCCTGGACTTATGTTCTTTGCTGTCGTATAACACTGAGAAGCAATGAAAACACAGGTTTCATTGTGTTTTCATTGTGCCATAGTATGTGCCAAATGCCTGGCACATACTATGTGCTCATTAAATGGTAACCATTTTTATTTCTGCTTTGGCTTACCACTCACTTAATAAATTCCTACCTAAAATTTCTCTTAAAATTTAAAGAGAGTTGCCAAGGCCTACTGTTTGGAATGCTTATAAACTCAGGTCACATTTACCTTATTAATACTTTTTGCAAGTGAAAGTAAATATATATTCTATCCTTCCAGACCCTGAAGCTTTAGCTTAAAGGGGGTCATAGCTGGAGGGGGCGGGTCTTTCTGCTCTTAATTTAATCCCCTCTGTTGGACCAATTTTTTCCCACTTTCCTTCCCTTTTAGAAATTACTGATGCTGGAATTAGGGGAGAATGAGAAGGGCAGCGAGGTTCTTTAAGAGCACGAAGCATCTCACTTTGGCTCCTGGGCTCCTTTCAGGGATTCATAGCTGAAGGACCCTCCTTACCCCTTGCAAACTGGCTTCTGTTCCCCTGTGGGCTGCAGGACTGGCCCTGGCAGAATCAGGGTACTTGTCTCCGTTTCTTGTGTTCATTTCTGCAACATGGTGGCAACCACCCCACTAGCCAGTGCTGAAGGTCTTTTACTTCCATTCCGGAAGAGGGGCTCCTCTAGGAGACCAAGTTAGGGAAGGGAGCCCCCCAGCCCTTCCCTCTTGGCTTTGGTAATTTTGTGTCCTGTCCCCAGTGGGAACAAATCAGCAATAAGTCCTTTGTCAGAGCATGTGCCCTAGGCTGGGGAGTGGAGGAGTTTTGAGTGGAGTTTAGCACAAGAACAAAGAACAAGCGGGGCCAGGACTGATCACTCTGCCAAAGCCTCACCACACACCAAAACCAGAAAGCTTGCAAACTTGTGCCCTGAGGGTCTGGCAGTGTGGGGAGGGGGTGAGGGGGGTGGACAGGAGGAGGCAGCTGTCCCTCGGTGGCCTCCTCTTGTCACATCTTCTGATTGTTTAAAGAAAGCATAAATCTGGGGTTTTATGTGAAATTAACTGGAAACTAACTTTGTTTTCTTTTTTCAATGCTGGATGGGGCTCCCCATTGTAGGCTTACTAAAATACACCCACCTGTTCCATGTGCCCCTTGAGCCATACCAGGATGCCACCTCTGAACTGTCCTCTTCCCATCGCTGTCCCCTGTTGACCCTGTCTCAAATTCCCTGAAATAGCAAAAACCTGGTACCTGGCTTCCGGAGGCTGTTGGGGCAGGGGGTTCTGCCGGTGTGAGTCGGGCAGGCTGGCACTTCAAGCCGTGTGTTCCTGTGTCCTCCTCACCCTGTGCAACCTCCTGTCTTTCCAGGAATCACCGGCCCTGTGGTTTTGGACTCCCAGGGGGAACGGCACATGGATTACTCGGTTTATGCTCTACAGAAAGCTGGGAACGGGTCCCTTTTTCTTCCTTTTCTTCACTATGACAGTTATCGGAAAGCAATCAGGTACTGGCAGGACATTTCTGCAAGTTCAGATCACCTTCCAGGAAGAGAGGTGGGAGGAGCCAGGTTGGGTTCCAGCCCCAAGAATTCCCCCAAGTAGCCTGGCGCTCTCTGAACCCATAAACATCAACTTTGGGCCTCTAATGGGATTTTGGCCTTGACTGTGGGCGTGGCTTGAGCATTTCGGATTCAGTGTAGAATGCAGCACCCCACAGCCGCACCTCCAGGGGGGCCTGGGCCCGACTCCGGCGGAGACTCCAGCATTTGCTGCCAACTGTTGTTCCTAGTACTCAGCAATCCGCAAAAAATTCCCTGCTTTTGTTCTCTCAGCTACAAATCAATGAGAAAACTAAAAGGAAACCTCAAACTCAGTTCAATTTTTACCTCTGCCCACTGCCAGCACCGGCAATCCTGATTTTATCTGACTTTTTTCTCGGCTACTCTTACAGAATTTTAATGTATCAAAATGGGCCGGGGAAACAAAGTAAGCATGGAAAACTGCGTCCTCAGTATGTGGGGACAGGCACACTCCATGTAGAAGGAGACGTTTTGGTCTGTGAAACGTCCAGGAGCTACAGAACAAGATGTGTCTTGTCTTATAACATAAGTGACAAACCCAGCAATGTTGAATCAAAAGAGACACGGCTGAAATCAGAAGGTTGACGCAGCTATTCTACCGGCAAAAACATACTGCCTTCCTTGGATTAGATTACCTGAAGGCTGGATTTGGAGAGTCCAGGGCAGGTGGGAAGATTGGGCAGGTCAGCAAAAGTTTGAGTTGAGAGAACAAGGACTGATTTTTGCCAATAACATGCACATTTCAGTTGCCCCTGCTGCACATGAGATAGAGAGTAAGTAGCATACATCCAGTGGACGCTGACCTTCATGGTTTTTTTAAAGACCCGCAGAGAATTTCTCCACTGTTACTTGGCCCCATGGCTCCCTTCCTGAAGACCGACCTGGCTGTGGATTTTATAATGAGCTCTGCAAAGCTGAGCCTGCCGCTGGGGGTAAGTGTGGCTGCTTGGGGAAGGTAGCAGGAAAGGATTCTCTATAGCAGGGCTTCTTTACAGTGGCAGCTCCCTTGACATTTTGGGCCAGATAATCTTTGTGTATGGTGGTGGTGGGAGGGGACTGTCCTGTGTATTGTAGAGTGTTTTTGAGGAGGAGGAAGAGGAGAGGAAGGGGGAGGAGGAGGGAGAGGGGAGGGGCAGGGAGAGGGAGGGGAGGAGGACCCCCAGAACTTCATTTCTAGGAGAGGTAGAAAGAGTCTGGGCAGGGGAGTATGGCCCAGTGGTTTGGAGCCCGGCCCTGGAATGAGACAGATCATGCCTGGAGAACACCCCTAAGGAGCACACATAGTAAATGTCTAAGAAAAAGTGGTGGTGTTATGAGAAGTCACATTATTGTTTCTCTACAGTGAGAGTTTCTCTGCGGAGGGGAAGGTGAGTGCAGTTGCCATGGGAACTGGAGGGGTAGCCAGGAAAGGATTCCTGGAAGGGACAGCCTGTGTGACAAGTCTGAGTGGACTCCGTATGTTCCAAACCAGATGTACCCCTGAGCAGCCTTTGGGTCGCCTGCGTGGCAGGGCCAGCCTGGGGCAGGGATGTGCCCACTTCTGCTCTGAGGCGGGCCTGAGCCGCGTGTCTCTACCCTCCAGGTGTGACTGCTGTGACTCTCACAGTGACGCTCCTCGTTACTGCCTTGGGAGCTACCATCGTAGGGCTGATTTTAAGGATGCAGAGGGGAAAACTGCAGAGGCAGGATAAAGACATCTGGTGGCAAATCAATTATGACAACATCACCATTCTTCCCCAGAACAAGGTGAGGCCACGCATGACCCAGAAGTCCACTTTCCTGGTCACTGCTGGCGATTTGTGGAAGGGACCTCGTGAGAACAAAGGGCTGACTCATTTGTAAAGTGGGCACTTCCAGCAGACTCTTGAAGACCTGAGTTTTTGTTCTAGAACCAGAATTCCCACTTTCTTGCTGAATATCTCTGAGAACCTCACTTCCCCTCCCTGAGACTCAGTTTCTGAATAGTCACGAATCACTGATAGTCTCTAAAGTTTCCTGCAGCTCTCGGTGTGAGAAGTGCACATCCTGTTCAGATATCAACGCTGTCTCCTGGGGAGCATTTAGTTATTCTTACAGACACATCAATGACGGGATACCATAAAGTTCGTTTGCTCTGCAAACACCTGTTGACCACCCACTGCAGGCCAAGTATGGTACAAGGCATGGGGGTGCCTCACCTTCCCCGCAGGTGGAGGGATCAGGTCTCAGCAGCAGGAAAGGCTCAGAGAGGAGGTGACATTGGGGAAGAGTTTGTCAGCAGTGACGAGGAGAGAAGTCACACAGGCTGTACCAAAACGTGGGATGCTCCGGGCTGGGAGGCTGAGCTGGTACCCAACCATGGAGGCTAAGACCAGGAGACTGGGATTCATTAGAGGCTCATTTGCAGATGTCCCTGTGTGTTCTTGAAGGTGACTCTTCCCACTTCAACCAAAGCAGCTCTGCTTTGATCCTCCTGGTTTCTACATTATGTAACACAGTATTGCCCCTTGCCCCATAGATGTGGAGGGGAAATATTGAGAGTGGGGAATATGTAACAGAGGGAATGGCCTGGAAAAAAAGGGGGCAGAAAGATTTTCTGTCTTTTTAAAACTTCCCCCACTGTTTTGGGAACTTAGAGCCCAGCCGGCATCCCTGAGGTAGGTTAAGTCTTTTGTTAAAACTCCCAAGTGGCCACCAGCCCCCTGGTCAGCTGGCAGAGTTCACAGGCTTCATTTTTTGGCAGAGATGGGATGATTAGAATAGTTCACCACAGTAATTGCCTGAAGCTGAGAACCCTCCCTTTAAAAGCTCTGATTTCTGCCTGTGTTCAGGAAATTTGGGATTTTGAGATGAGAAGGTCTGCCATATTTCCTCCTTTGCCGGCAAAGTAAACTCTCTCTTTTCCTCCTCAAACTGCTTGTCCTTGTTATTCAGCCTCATGGACAAGTGGCTGAGCTATCAGTAACAATTAGGGTTCCAGGTAAGACTCTCCTTGAAGATTAGGGACCCTGTGCTTTGGAGGTGTTCTCTGGGTGTTGGGGAGGCACTGCAGGTATTGAACAGAGAGATAGCCAGGTTAGATGTTCATCTAGAAAAGTGACTCTGATCCCAGGTGACACATCTGGTTAAGTGCCAGAGCTGGAACTTGCATCTGGGCAGGCTGCACATTCTGTGTGTGGAAGTACAGACATCAGGAGTGATGCCTGTAGCAGGTGCCTACTCACACTTCAGGTCAGAAAGTTCGGGGTTCCAATACTGGCTCTCCCATTTTTTAACTATGTCACCTTGGCACTCATCTTTGTCATCTATAAAACACACAGTCCCTTCAGCACTTGGCCATGCTTTCGAGAGTGTCTGAATTATGTCCTGTTTTACAGCCATCCCAGAGAGACACACCTGTGTTGAGAGGGAACAAGAGTAACTCATCTAGGGCGATGATTTCTGCAGACCTCAGCTCCTTTGTCAAAAGCCAGCAGGAGGAAGAGCTCTTCTATGCCCCAGTAGGATTTTACCAGGTACTTCTGCGGGTGGGTGGCTGCCTGTGGGTCTCATCTCTGTTCTATTCTCCACATGCAAGGGTGGGGCATTCTGAAAAGGAGGACATTCTCCAGGCAAAAACCAAAGGGGCCTTGCAACTCCAGACAGGTGCTTCCCAAACTCTAATGCACATACAAATCACCCGAGGCTCTTGATAAAATGCAGATTCAGGGTTAGCACCTGCAGGTCTGGGGTGACACCTGAAATTCTGAGTTTCTAAGAGGTTCCAGGGTGATTCCTATGCTGACTTCTAGATTAAATTCAGCCCTGCCCAAACAAACTTTCTGTGTTGATGGAAATGTCCCTAATCTGTGCTGTCCTATATGGTAGCCACTAGCCTCCTGTGACTACTGAACATTAGTGTGTCTGGGGAACTGAATTCAAAATTTTATTTTAATCAATTTAAATTTCAATAGCTCTGTGTGGAGTGGCTACCTTAATGGACAGCACAGTCCTAGAGTGTGGATTATTTTGTCCTTGGTACTCTAGCATGGATGAATCAGTTGTGGGTGCTGGTGCTTCTGCAGTGTAGACAGCGACCTCTGCTGAAACCTGGAACAGAACTCCCACTTGTCCTTTCTCACCCTTCCTTCCACGCCCAGACCATGATAGCTGCCCACACTTAGCAGTCCTTCAGAAGTTCAAGACCCCTGGGGGAAAGTTAAAGAATAAAAACCTGTATTTATTCTGTAAAATGTAGGTCTTGGAGAGTAGGGACAGAAAGTTCCAAGCATGGGAAGAATTGTTCATTGCTCTGAATTGGGATTAGTAAAGATTAGGGATGAATCATTTCCTATGCAACTGAACTTAGTTTTCTAAGTGTTTGTTTACTTGAGTCTTCAAACTACAAAAACCTCTTGGGATCTTACCAAAGACCCTAGGGACCATCAACCATATGACACCATATGTGGTGGTCACCTGGCCATTTAGAGAAGGAAGCCAGCAATCCATAGCGTATCACTGTCTGATTAATCTTCCCCTCTCCCCTCCCTCAAACACCATCACCAGATTCCCCACCTCTGTTCCGTGCATGGTGGTCCCCAAACTCTTTAACAAGGGACCAAACCCCTTGGCTACTTTAGCCCTGACTTTTAGAACCTTTTTCTTTCCTGGCCTAAATCCTATGCTCATCCAATTGGTCTTACCAATTATGTTGACTATGCCACGCCTGCTCCCTGTTCCCCCCACCTGGAACCTTCTTATCCCTCAGGTCAGGCTTCAGCATAAGCATCACCTTTTCTAAGAATCCTTTCCTTCACCCCACAGCCCTTCCTTTCTCCATGGGACTCCTGTCACAGTCCATTACTCCCACACCAGAAGTGGCAGATTTGGGGTTGTTATTTAACTCATACTGAGGCTTACATTCTCCTGTGTCCAGAGTCTAGCTCTTCTTCTACCCATCTCTTACACATCACTGTAGCTTTTTGTGCTCATGGATTAAATGACTTTCTAGAAGCAGATTTGAGAGGCAATAACCATAAGATATACCATTTGCTGAAAATGTAGTATGTGCCAGGCATTGAGTTACAGTGGTATTGTAACTGATTTTATCCTCAGAACAACTCTGTGTGATTGGTGTTTATTTATTTATTTAGCTATTTTAGAAACAGGGCATGAGGGCAGTGGCATGATCAGAGCTCGCTGCAACCTCAAACTCCTGCCTCAGCCTCCCGAGTAGCTGGGACTATAGGCACCCACCACCATGCCCAGCTAATTTTTGTATTTTTTTGTAGAGATGAGGTCTTGCTATGTTGCCCAGGCTGGTTTCAAACTCCTGACCTCAAGAAATCCTCCCACCTCAGCCTCCCAAGGATTTTTTTTTTTTTTGAGACAGAGTCTTGCTTTGTTGCCCAGGCTAGAGTGAGTGCCGTGGCGTCAGCCTAGCTCATAGCAACCTCAAACTCCTGGGCTCGAGCAATCCTTCTGCCTCAGCCTCCTGAGTAGCTGGGACTACAGGCATGTGCCACCATGCCCGGCTAATTTTTTTCTATATATTTTTAGTTGGCCAATTAATTTCTTTCTATTTACAGTAGATATGGGGTCTCGCTCTTGCTCAGGCTGGTTTTGAACTCCTGACCTGGAGCAATCTGCCTGCCTCGGCCTCCCAGAGTGCTAGGATTACAGGGGTGAGCCACCGTGCCCGGCCGCACTTCAGCCTCCCAAGGATTATAAGTGTGAGCCACTGCACCCAGACTGGTGCTCTTTTTAATCCCCATTTTACAGATGAGGAAATGGAGGCTTGGAGCAGTTAAATCCCTTGTTCAAGGTTGTTTGAGTAGTAAGGGGTAGCACTGGCCTTTGAGCCAGGCATTTGACTCCAGATTTTCACTTATGACCCCAACTCACTATTTCCTCTGAATGATAAGGGGACATTATTGGGTAACACAAAGAGTATTGTCTTGGAGTCACACTTTCAAATTCTGTCTGTGCTACCTACAAATGTGCAACCTTGGAGAAGTTACCCAACCTCAGTGATCCCCACTGGAAAAGCACTAATCATACCTACCTTGCAGGGCTGAGATCTTGTGAAGCAGCTAGCTCAGGGCCTGGACATAACGCAGTGCCACCTTGATCCCTCTCATAGGGGGATTTCTTGCCAGTCTTCTTGCTCTCCTTTCTAGCCTGGAGCTTTTCCTGGATCATGCCAGGTTAAGAACATTCCACTTTGCCTCTGATTCCAGGGAAACCACGTGGCCATCCGCTATGTCGGTGACCAAGCAGGAGCCTGGGTTAAGAAGCCGACTGTGCTACAGGAAATCCGGCTGGTAAGGCTCCTGCCCGGGGAGGAGACAAGCAGCGCTGCTCTCTGCCCCTGCCCTGCCAGCTCCCTGTTCCCAAGGAGCAATGGTGGGAGGGTGCTTCCCCTAATTTGGCCTGCCTCTTCCTCCCCCCAGGAGCTCAGGCTTTGGAGCTCAGACCCTTCGATCTGACCCATGCACCTGAAACCTGGGATCCCTCCAACCTCTGCTTTTTTCCTTAATTCTTCCCTGCCTTAGTTCTTCTGGCCCTTCACCCTCTGTGTCTATGATGGCTGCTTCCCTGCCTTGAACCTGGTCTTGAGGGAGTCAGGTTCATGGGGTCTGACTTCTTGCTCCATATCTATGGCCTGTTGTGGCCCCCACACTGGTGTAGACAGCCATAAGCAGGGAAGCAGGATAGATTCTGTCGCTGTGACATGGTTTAGTTTATCCCCGTGGCCAAGGTTAAACTTTGATCATTCCTCTGGTTTACTTGCTGGAGGAAGACTTCCTAAGTTCTCCGCCCAGCTCTGCCACTTATACGATGTTTGACAACTTATGGTACCTTTTGAGCATCAGTTCCGTAGTCTGCAAAATGAAAGCAGTAATCATTCCCATCTCAAAAGATTTTTGTAAGAATTAACTAAAAATATGTAAAGTACATAGCACAGCCCCTGGCTCAAAGATACACTCTACACATGAGCTATTGTGACCATTTTTATTTCCAGATGTGTGAATTAAGGCACGAGAACATTGTTCACTTCTTTGGTATTTGCACAGAACCACCTAACATCTGCATTGTCACCCAGTATTGCAAAAAAGGAAGTCTTAAGGTAAGCAAAATGGTCACTCTTACCTCAGTTTTGATTGGTGACAGGTAATAAAGGACCTTATCAATGCTTCCTCCCGTTCATCCAAGCACTGTTTCTCTCTGGTCTAATTGCAAAACCTGAATTATTTTGCTGGGCTACCCGCTAGGGATCAAATTAGCAGTGGAGTTGCCAAGTGTCTGGTCTCCTTTGTTCTGGGTGGAAATCATCTGAGCTTGGTTTCTTCTCCTACAATATTATGGCTGTCCTCGAATGGTATTCTTGGGCCTATCCTACCCATGGCATGTGACCAACAGCTTTATGTTAGGAATGAGGGAGTGTTTGTAAAACTCCAAACCGCTTACTTTCTCAATATTGAGTCAGGTTGTGGTATCTCCTGTGGAGATTTATAGTTAGCAGGTTTAATGGTTTTTTGCCTCACATTGTGTTGGCAAATATCAGATATATTGGAGTCAAATCTGCTCAACGGATGAAGCTCACTGAAGCTTCAGGTTGAGTCACTGTTGATATTTTCAATAACTGTGTTTTTCAGGATGTTTTGAGAAACTCAGACCATGAAATGGATTGGATATTCAAACTCTCATTTGCATATGACATAGTCAATGTGAGTATAACATCAACTTGTTTAAAGAACCAATATGATAGTGTTTTTGAGTTGTTCTGTGTCTTGGATGAAATTGAACTGTAATCTTCCCTGAAAATTCTGGCCCTCTTCAACAAAAGGATTCCAGCTCTAAAAACTACCACTTCAATCAGATTTTCCATTTTTTTCTTCTTCCCTGATTATAATATTAATAAATAGGGAGACAGGAAAGCATGTTACATTAAAGTTGGAATGGCTGATAGGCTTACCGATCAGGAAAGAGCAGAGTATTTACATTTTCAGGTAGAACTTTTGATCTCAAAGGGAATCTCATTACTAGACCATAAATGGAGCTGGGGAGGAGAGTTCCTAATGCCCCTTCCTGTGCATCTAGGGTTGAGAGCAACTGGCCGAGACAGGTCTTGTCAGACTGTGCGTACATGAGAATCACCTGAGACTCTTGTTGAAATAATCCAGGAGGTCTGGGGTGGGGCCTGGGATTCTGCATTTCTGCCAAGCTCCCAGGTGATGCTGCTGGTCTTGGGCCATCCTCCAAGCAGCAGGGGTCTAGGCAGTCCCATCTCACAGATGGGAAAATTGAGGCCCGGTGAGGTAAAGCGACTTGCTTGATGAGACTGAGTAGTGAAGTCCAGACTTGAATGCACATCTTCTGGCTCTTGTTCTTTCTACCCTCTTTGTAAATAATAATAATACTATGGAACCCCTGAGAACACAGTGGATACCATAAGAATTCTTCAGTGTTCTTCATTTTTCCTGAGAAGGGATCAAACAGGACCCTTAAATGGATGTAATAGTATATTATTTGTACTATGTCGGTAATAAAATAATCTTCTTAATTACATAGTGCTGTTTCTATATCATTGATATTCTCTACCATATCTGTGCGTGTATCATAGTTAGGTAATTTTTTCATTATAACTTACATTGGGTATTTGTGTCATGCACTGTGCCTGGTGTTTCACTTGCCTTATTACATTTAATCTCCACAACCACACTATGAGTAAGCATTTTGTCACTTCCATTTTGGTAAGAAGAATGAGGCTTACAGGGATAAAATAACTCGCCCTCTGCGAAGTGGTAAAGCTGGGATTTGAACCCAGGAACCTGAACATCAGGGTGTATTTATTTTAAGCTGGCCTTGCCTTCTTGCCTCCGCAGTGAGGAGCTAGAAATAATAGTTTTCACCATTTTGAGTGTCCCTCTCCAGGTTGACTCCTGGACAAGTGGCTGTGCTGGTGGCTCTTGAACACATGAACACAGAGATGGGCACATGCCCTGCAGGGGTCTGTGTTTCTGTCCATCCGTCCGTCTGCCTGGGTTCCTGCCAACAGTGTCACTGGCACCCGGTCTGCCTCATCTTCCCACTCTCCCCCTTGCAGGGCCTGCTGTTCCTCCACAGGAGCCCGCTGGGCTCCCACGGCAACCTGAAGCCTTCCAGCTGCCTGGTGGACGGCCGGATGCAGGTGAAGCTGACAGGATTTGGGCTGTGGGAACTCAAGTACGGCCAAACATACAGAACATTGGATGAGAAAACTACTGACCCCTCAGGTAGCCAACGGCAGATCTTGTACCCAGTAGTGGTAGGCTGGGGAGTCAGGGGTTCCTTGCCCTACCTGTGCTCCCCGATGCCCACTTGCCCAGGTGCCCACAGGTGGGTCTTCCTCTGGAGCTCACGGGGTGATGTCTGGGTAGGAGACTGGTTCTCGCCCCAGCTCAGTTGGGCCACCTGTGGCAACCATTGCCCTCCCTTTAGTCCTCTGTGTTCCCTCCTGCACTTACCCTACGTTCTCAGCATAGGTAACCCAATTCCATGGTTCTCCGTCTTCTAGGGGGCTGGGTCCCTTCCCTACCACATCAGTTGAACCAGAATATCTGAAGATTGAAGATAGGGTCTGGACATCAAATTTCATTTTATTTATTTATTTTTATTGAGACAGGGTGTTGCTCTGTTGCCCAGGCTGAAATGATCCTCCCACCTCAGCCTCTCGAGTAGCTGGGACTGCAGAAGTGCTTGCTCCACCATACCTAGCTAATTTAAAATTATTTTTTGTAGAGATGGGATCTTACTGTGTTGTCCAGCTGGTCTTAAACCCTTGGCCTCAAGGGATCCTCCTGCCTCAACCTCCCAAAGTGCTAGGATTATAGGCATGAGCCACTGCACTAGCTAGTAGTATTGTTTTTGAAATGCTCCCAAGAGATTCTGATGCACATGCCAAGACAAGACCCACTGCCTCAAGTCCAACCCTCTTTTACATATGAGCAACTTGGGGCTTGGTGATCCTTCCAACTTGTCCAAAGTTACTTGAATGCCTTTGAGTCTCACCTCCTCACATTCAGCCCAATGTTTCCAGCCCCAACCCCACCCCTTGTCGGATCAGCATGTCACCAGCAGCTTTTCTGTGTGAATGTGGGGAGGTTTCTATACCATGTAATTCCATGGTGTCTTATAGAAAGTCAAGGGAAAAAGCTTTGAAGACCTGCTGGTAGCCTCTCCTAGTTCCCTATCCTCTAATATATGTAGATTTTCTTTTAATGATTATAACCTATAATGATATAAACCTATATAGATCTCACTGCAAAAAAAAAAAAAAGTAGATACATAAATATCCAGAATAGATAAATCCATAGAGACAGATGCAGATTGGTGGTTGCCAGGAGCTAACGTAGAGAGAACAGGGTGAAACTGCTCCATGGGTAAGGTTTTCCTTTGGAGCGACGGAAGTATTTTGGAACTAGATAGAGGTGGTGGTTGCACAATATTGTGAATGTGCTAAATGCCACTGAATCGTTCACTTTAAAATCATTAATTTTATATTGTGTAAATCATACTTCAATGAGTTATCCTTAAAAATATAGGCAATTCAGGAAAGAAAAAAGGAAATGAAAGCCACCTGTAATTCTGCAGTTATGCGTGAACCAGCGGTAACTCGTTAGGGCACGTGGAAATTTCTCCGTATTCCCACAAGCAGACCCCGATACCCTCAGGGCTGATGGCTCAGGGCTGGGTTTTTTCCCTCCTCCTGTGCCCCCCTAAGGATGAAGGGGTGGCCTTTCCTGTTTCACCCAGCAGCGCCTCACTTCATGTGCTCACCCCTTGGCTTTGCAGAGCTCTACTGGACGGCCCCGGAGCTGCTGCGGCTCCCGGCGACACCGCGGTCCGGCACGGCGAAGGGAGACGTCTACAGCTTTGGGGTTCTGATGCGGGAGCTGCTCCACCACCCCGACCTCGGGCCCTTTGACGACCGCGATGAGGCTCCGGCTGGTAAAGGGGGAGAGTTGGCTTTTGCTGTGTGGGTTGCCTTTGAAATGTTTGCCAAACTCTTGGCAACCTCTGATCTATTTTCTGTCTCCGTAATTTTGCCTTTTCCAGAGTTTCATGTAAACAGAAAACAGTAAATAGCCTTCTCATATTGGCCTCTATAACTTAACACTATGCACGAGACTCATCCATGTTGTTGCACCCACAATATTTTTATACCCAAACATGTATATATTATTCTCAAAGTATTATTTCCTTTACAACATCCGGCTAAGCAGAATCTTTAATAAATATCAGTAGAAGCCGATGAGGAAATGAAGGAAAAAAATAGGTTTACAAAAGTGGACAGAGAAGCAGAACATGATGGTAACATTTATTATTTGTTAAAATGGCTTTTCTCTAATGTGTTCTATGGAATGCAAAATTGCATAGAGCATTCTTTGGGGATTTGCAACATCAAATGCTTATACATTCCTAAAATCATGTGTTATCTCAAGAAAAATTCTGTTTTAAAAACCATAATTTAAAAACAGATGAATTGGGAGGGCGCCTCTAATGTTGTACATTGGAATTCTTCATTTTCCAGGAGAATCAGAGTGTTTTTATCAAAATATGCAGATTTCTCTGGAATTCCAATCTATTCTATGACTTAGTTTATAAACTCAAGAGCACAGTTACTGCTTAAAGTGAACTGTACTAAGTGGTGCAAAGCTCAGACATTTGGCTATCTCAACCCAAAATGAATTTCAGAAATCATCAACCGAATCAAAGACCCCAGGGCGTCAGTTCCACTGCGACCTTCCCTGTGTGAGGACGAAGGCAATGGAAAGATCCTGCTCATGGTGAGGGCATGCTGGGATGAATCTCCAGAGAAAAGGCCCACTTTCCAGTCTATCAAGAAGACTTTGCAAGAAGCCAGCCCCAAAGGGTGAGTTAGATATGCCACAGACGTTTTTCTCTTAGTCATTTAAGAATTGGAATTTTAAAATTATATGGCTGCGATTGGTTCCATGTGACTCCCTTCCTTCCTTCCTTCCTTCCTTCCTTCCTTCCTTCCTTCCTTCCTTCCTTCCTTCCTTCCTTCCTTCCTTCCTTCCTTCCTTCCTTCCTTCCTTCCTTCCTTTCTTCCTTCCTTCCTTCACCATATACTCAATGCCTGCCACATGCAAAGCCTTGTGCTACATGCTGGTTAAAGTGGAGTGTGTAATGCTCCCTTTAGTTCATATATATTACAAAAATGTATTCAATGTTATGATTCTATTGCCTTCTTTGTCCATCCCAGAAATCACTAATCGATCAAGGCCTTCTTTCCCAGGGATTTCTGGCATGGCCTGAGAATCTGTTCCCAATCAGCATTCCCAGGGTCATGACTAACAAATTGGGATTGGACTAGAGGATTAAAAATTATTTACTACCCTTGGAATAGGTATCACTTAAATTGTGTATGCCTTTCAAATAATTTTCTCAATGGTAGCTTCCTTCACACCAGGTTAATTATATCATCTCTTGACACACTGAATATATGAAGACATCACCATGGTAGAGGTAGCTTGTGTTGGTAGAAAGAGTTTGCAGGCTGGGAGTTAGGCACCTACTCCTAATTTGGCCACTTGGCTATGCATTCTTAACAAAATTGCCCTGTATTTTGCATTTTCCAGATGATAGTATTATAGTTTTGAAAAACTTAAAACTTGTTAATATTATTTTTAAAATTGAAAAGTGGAAACTGATTTCTATTTATGATGTACAATGTGGTGCTTTGATTGATGTGTACTTTGTGGGATGTAAATCAAGCTAATTAGCATATTGGTACAGCTCAGGTCAGTTGATATGTCCTGACGTTTTACTCAAAAAATATGGTCCCCATGTTAAGACAAGTGTATTTTCCTATTTGAGCCTCAGCCTCCTCATCTGAAAGATGAGGAATATAAATGAGTTCTCGGAAGACCCTTCTAAAGCAAGAAGCCTTCAGGATCTAGAAGTGCCCCTTACTTTGGACAATCTGAAAAGAAAAGAATGACTCTTCCTCAAATCTACATTTTTAATGGGATGCAGACTATTGGGAGGTGGGGGAAGGGCCATTAAGGCCACCATCTGTTGAATGCCTGTGGGTGCCAGACATAGCCCTGGACACTTTGCACACATTATCTCCCTAAAATCCTCAGCACAACCCTCTGAGGTATGTATTATTATCCCCACCTTCTGGATGAGTAAACAGAGGCTCAGAGAAATGAAGGGTGCAGCTGAAGCTCCCAGAGCTGGTGAAGGGCAGGCTCTGTCCTGCCACGTGGCCTCATTGCCATTGTCATTTCCCTGCTGTCCATTGGCAACCCTTCAGTAGGAAACCGTAAGGGCAAGAAATAGTTTCTTGGAATGTGTACCTGGCAGTTGTGTTCCACTGTGGCCCTAAGGTTCTTGGAAGAAGATGTTAATGTTTGGGTTCTTTGCAAGCCACGTGAGCATACTGGACAGCATGGTTAGCAAGCTGGAAGTGTATGCCAACCGCCTGGAGGAAGTGGTGGCAGAGAGGACCAGCCAGCTGATGGCAGAGAAGAGGAAGGTGGAGAACCTTCTGTCCACGATGTTGCCCAGGTATTACAAAGCACTGGGGGCCTCAACAAAGAAATCCAGGCAGTGGCTCCACATGGAGGGATTATTCCATGGTTCTTTCCCTAAGAGGATGCCATGTCCTTCAGAAAGGGGTCCAGCATTTTGTGTGTAATTTGGTCCACTGAAGAGGGAGATACAGGAAACCCCTTTGAATCCAATAGGAATAGGTCTTTTACCTGGAAGGCGGTGAATACAGCATCAGGAAGTGGCCACTAGATGGCGCTCTAGTTTCATGAGTCCAGTCGCTAACTCCACAGTATTTCAGACTGTACAACTGTACGTGCAAAACCTTTGCACCGTGCAGTATGTACCATGACTTCAGATTAAACAATTGTTTCCTTTTTGGATTCGTTTTCACCTGTGCACTTTCTCAACACTTGGCAGAAGCATTTGCTGTTAAAATTCCTCTGCACTTCTTGCATATCTTGACCAAAGAAACAGAGGCAGAGATTTTTAATGCGAGATTTGTTGATTGAAATAAAAATATTGATTCGTGTATTGGTGAATGATTACATTTACTTCCACGTCTGCAGACCAAGTCTTTACAATCAAACTCTATAACCAATATATATAGGGAGAAAATCCTTTTTATAAAGGTGTTTATGTGACCCTCTTCCCCATTGTCCCCTACCCCAATTTATACCCACCAATCATGATAAAATATCTCTTTAGAGAAAATGGAGGTAGAGAAATGGATGTCAAAAGAATTCCTCTAGATGATGGGTTTTGTTAACCAAAAACCTAGCCATTGAAGCAAAAGGACCTAGGGCAAGTTCGCAAGGGTCTGTAGGAGACAAGATGCATAAGATCCTGTTCAAAACTGATTCCTTCCTCTGGTTTCAGCTTCATTGGAGAACAGCTTGTAGCTGGAAGATCTGTGGAACCAGAGCATTTTGAGTCCGTGACAATCTTTTTCTCTGACATCGTTGGATTCACAAAACTGTGTTCTCTCAGCTCCCCCTTGCAAGTTGTCAAGCTCCTCAATGACCTGTATAGTTTGTTTGATCACATCATTACAGCGTATGATGTGTACAAGGTGAGATGCCGGCTGCTGCCTGGCAAGGCACCCGTGCTGCTTGTCAGCTGTCTCAGGGGCATGATTGAGACCAGGCCAACCCCAGACATCTGTCACTTCATGGCAGAAACTCAATATTTTATTCTGTTTATTTTCTTGGAAAAGGTCTTGATTAGTCACAAATGTTTGTATTGGTCAAGAATCACCATTCGTTCCCTCTGTTTCCTTCCATAATTTTATCTCTCAGTAAACACCTCTCTGAAAGAGGCATTGACCTTCTAATTGCTAATTCTCTGCTTCCCTCCTGAATATATTTCCTTCAGAGTCAGAGAGGCTCACATTTACTCTCCTTTAGGGGTTGTCTTTGGATCTTGTGTGGGTCTCACTTCCATTAGCACAATCCTTAGCAATGCAGGCTAAAGCTGGACTCCCAAGGTTAGACTATCAGGCTAACCTGCCAGGCTTACCTGCCTGGTGCTCCTCTGGGAGGTACATGAATATGGTTTCCTAGAGTAAAAAATAATTTTTGGTGAGGAGGAGAGCAAAACCAGCAATAATCTCGCTTCATTCAAGTGGTAGCGGAGCGGCCAGGCACAGTGGCTCATGCCTGTAATCCTAGCACTCTGGGAGGCCAAGGCGGGAGGCTCGCTCAAGGTCAGGAGTTCAAGACCAGCCTGAGCAATAGTGAGGCCCTATCTCTACTAAAAATAGAAACAAATTAATTGGCCAACTAAAAATATATAGAAAAAATTAGCTGGGCATGGTGGTGCATGCTTGTAGTCTCAGCTACTGGGGAGGCTGAGGCAGAAGGATTGCTTGAGCCCAGGAGTTTGAGGTTGCTGTGAGCTAGGCTGATGCCACAACACTCTAGTCCAGGCAACAGAGTGAGACCCTGTCTCAAAAAAAAAAAAAAAAAAAAAAGTGGTGGTGATGATGGCTGCTTTATGTGCTTTCCGACTCTTCAGGTGGGGTCAGATCATGACTGCAGGCACAGTTCTGTGTGCCTGTGCTCACATATTCCTGGGGGGCATCTGCGATGAACCAGCTCTGACCCAATCCCAGGGCTCTGCCTCTGCCTGAGGTCCCAGCCTCCAGTGAGATTTGTGGGACAGTATGGTCATATCTTGGTGACATAGTGACGCATCCTCAATGGTTATTCCCTAGTGTTCCCCATAAATGATACCTCTTTTTGAGGTGAAAGAAAGGATAGTATGGATAACCTTTAAAAGATGATCACATGCACCCAAAAATACTGGAACCTGCCCTGCTTATGAGGGTGTCTTCTGGGATTTTCCTCTTAGTGTTAACTTCTCAGTTATGTTTTGCTTTAGCTAATATTAAAACTAGTTTGTATTTCTAAAGAGTGTTCTCATGGTGGGGAGAGGTAGACCATAAGCAGGCTAGACTTGTCAACTAGTTGACTTTGTGTAATTTTGGGGTAACCAGGAGAGAGGTGTTTTACTGCCTGGCTACTGCCTGAAATTTCACTTTTACCATGTCATCTTTGGATTTTGCTAAAATGCAAATATTTCCAGAAAGGGCTATAACTTTAAGCTTCCCCTTGTCATTTATTTCTCTATTGTGAATGAAGGATCTGAAAGGTGATTTTATTAGGAGAATTGGGGGAGAAGAGGACAGATCAGGCAACATGTACGTTTGTATACACATGTATGAATGGATACATTTTGTATAACGTCCAATGCAGACGTATGTATCAATCAATGTATGTAAGAGCCCCTGTGCGGGGGGAGGGCATTTCAGGTTGAGTATGATGGATTCTACTTGATGGATCCACCTGATCCTGCAAGATTTGCCCCATCAGCACACTGCTGCCTGTCTGGCTGGTTCTGAGCATGGGCTGGGGAAATACAGTCACCACCACTGTGGGACTTGGGAGGAGGAAGCAGAGACTGAGGGGAGCAGGCCTCAGGGAAGGAAGGCTTTGCAGAAAAACCAGGACAAGGAAGCGGGTGGAGGGAATGCTGGGACTTGCATGGGACAGATGTCTCAACGTATGGGGGCTCAAGGCTGGGGACAAATGGGGGGCCTTGGTCTCTGACCCCACTCTCACCCTTAGCCTCCCTCGTGGAAAGCAAAGGTCACTTTGTTGCTTTATTTTCAGGTCGAGACCATTGGAGATGCATACATGGTGGCCAGCGGGCTTCCCATCCGCAATGGAATCCAGCATGTGGACGAGATTGCTACCATGTCCCTGCACTTCCTCAGTGCCACCATCCACTTCCAGATTGGGCACATGCCTGAGGAGAAGCTCAAGCTCCGGATTGGCCTCCACACAGGTAGACAGAACTGATGGCAGGCAGTTGTATGGTCCAGATATGGCGACAGGTAGTTCTGGGTTCGAATCCTAGGTTCGAGGCTTCTAGGAACCTGGATGTTGAATGGTAACATCCTCAGGGGAAACAAAAGATTGAATTGTCTCTGCATGTGTCATTCCAGTTAGCTAGGTTGCCTGGTAACAGCAAGGACACAAGATGTTGAACCAAAAGTAAAGAGGAGACCCCAAACCAGGGCCATTGTAAGGAGCTACTTTGGCTACTTTCCCTCCGTGCCTCTGTGTCAGGTGCCCTTTGATATGTGCTGTGTTTGTCAACTCAAAGGCATGTGATCTGTGCAGAAGTGGCCCACGCTTGGTTTAATGCTCTTCTGTCACTGTCTTGAAATTCCTTATAATCTTTGAACAAAGGGTCTGTATTTTCATTTTGCACCAGCCCTCACAAATGACTTAGGCAGTCATGGTCCTACCTCTCCTTCAAGGCTCAACTAAAATAAAACCTGATGCCCAATCAGAAGTAATTACTCCCATATTCCTACTGCTTTTGGCTTTGTTTACAGCTCAAGTTCACGAATAACACAGTCATATATTGATCATGTCTCTTTCCACTAGGAGTCGGTGGGCTCTATAGGTTGCCTCTTTGTGAACCTTAAGACATATTGCCATGCTTTGCCCCAAGAAGGCACTTAAGCAATATTCCTTGAACTGCATTTATTGACTCGATGAGCACCTTGGGGTGTGCAAACTGGTTATGCCCTTTGCTTCTCCGTTCCTCAGGTCCTGTGGTGGCTGGCGTGGTGGGCATCACCATGCCCAGATACTGTCTGTTTGGGGACACTGTGAACATGGCATCCAGAATGGAGAGCAGCAGTTTGCGTGGGTATCATTGCCAGTACTTCGTAGACACAATACTGCTGTCCCTCCAGTCCCCTATCTTTAACTGGGGGATATTTTTAGAAGACACATTTGCATTCTATCGTTTTCCATCTGGAGAATAAGATCAAAGCTTTGTAGACAGGGCTTCGCTGTGCTCACCATGCAAACACACCTGGCCTGCCCCTTCCAAGGCTGGCTGTTCTAAACAGCCACACACAGGTAATACAATCATTTAAATGAGGAACAGGAGTCAGAAAACCTTCTCTGTGCAGGGCCAGACAGTAACTATTTTAGGCTTCAGGGGCCATAGAATCTCTGTCACAACTACATAACTCTTCAGTTGTAGCTTGAAAACAGCTGTAGACAATATATAAATGAAACGGCCATGTTCCAATAAATCTTTATTTGTAAACACAAGCAGTGGTCTGGATTTGGCCTGTGGGTGGTAATTTGCCCATTCCTGATGTAGAGTGTATTCTTGGTGGTGCAGAAGAAATCTATGAGCAGGAACTCCAGGGAACATCACATATTTTTGCATTATAGAAATTTTATCACATTGACTATCGCTAGACACATTTATGTCATTTACCAGTCAAGACATGTAAAAAAGAATTACTCAGTGATTTAAGTTTCAAAGAGTTGAGGTTAATATTATTTTGAGTTTATAAATTTGCCACAACATATAAAAGCACACCCATAAAATTTTGCCCTCTGATTACTTCATTGTCTAAGTTAACCAAGTCTCAAACACACATTTAACCGTCTCTCAGATTTAAACTTTTTCTCTCCTCTAGGTAAAGGTTTTTAGGATACATTTTTAAAGGTAGAGTTGCTTATATAGGCTTCAACCCTGAGTCTAGTTGCATTTCTGCTTACAAACTACATTTTCAGTCATATGTCCCAGGTCCGGTACCGTCCCAGGAAGCCCAAGAAGCCCAGTGAACTTCCATTCATGGGAATTACCCACTTGCAAACGGAATCAGTTCTCCCTCCTGTTCTAGACTGAACACACTAAGGTTTAAGCAGCACTCAACAATGTCTCAGCAATGCCATCGGGGTAGGGGGGCTCGGCCTCAGTGTCCCAGACTTTGGAGCGGGGTCTGTGTCTTGCTTAATGAGAAGTCCTGCAGTATAGGTTCCCGCTCCAGAGGAGCCCCAGCCCGCCGACGAGTTTATGACGAGGCAATGGCTGGTTTATGGCAGCTCTCCGGATCCAGGTCTCGCAGAGCACTGCAGGCGCCCTGCTGGCACTGGGAGGGTACGAGTTGCAGAAGAGAGGCACCATTCCAGTCAAGGTAAGACGGGCCAGCTGCGCCCCACCTGGCCCTGCCCCGTTTGGGTCTCTGATAGGGAAGTCTAGAGACTGGGTGGGATGAATGCGTCTCCACAGAGTGATGCAGAGAGACCTCAGGGCTCTCTGGAAATTCTCGTGACTGCCAGTCTTCTTCCTTCAGTTCCCTCAAATAGTCAAACATGGAACCTCCGACAGAGAACGCCTTAGCCCCACCCGGACCACCCCCTGTGGGATGGATGCCTCCTGTCTCTGTCACAAATGGCCCCCTGGCTTCCTCTCAAACACCCCAGCCCAGTTCCTCACACAAAGCAGCAGCAATACAAGCCCAGAAATATAACGTCCCCTTTCCTCTGTGTCGCCTCTCCTGAGTCTAAAGTACTCAGGTACAGGGGAGGAAGTCCACAGTCGGCCTTGGAGGTACTAGAACCTCACCTCTATACATTAAAAAATTCTGTCTCTTTTCCTTCATCCCTGCCTGGGTCTGTCAGTGAAATGTCATGGCACAGTCTCGTCTTCCCCTCTGGATCCCCCTTGCTCGGGGGGCGGAGGGGAGATGTTCACGGCTGGAGTGGTGGGTGGTTACTGTGACTCTCATGTTGGGTGGGAGCAGAGGGGACCCGAGTGGCACCGACTTCCCCATCTACCGAGGCTGCCCCACGCCCACTGCATCCAGTCAACAGCCTTCAGGTAAGAGGAAGACTTTTCTAGAAGGCAGCAGTGTAGGCCCAGCTTGGAATCCTGTCCTGCTACGCACTTGCTGTCTGATTCCGGGGCTCGGTTTTGTGGTATGCAAATGGGAATGGTGATAATACTGCCCTGGAAGGTGGGTGTGACGAGTCAAGGTGGACATGTATGTGAGGTGCTTCGCCTGGTGCCCAACTCATGCTTAAGGGTTCAATAGATTCTATTATTTTTTAAAAAGGATTTTCTTTGCAACAAGCTTTTAGTCTCCACCGGCCCCAACCCTAGGCCACTGCTGACGGCTGCCCGGGCTTATCAGAGAGCCGGAGAACATCCTCGGGGTTCCGGGGTTCCATCTGTTGGGAGACCCTCCCCTGTCCCACCCTGTGTTTCCTCGGCGCCTCCCTTTGCCTCCCACAGGGCAAAGGAGAGCAGATGACTTTCTGGCTGAAAGGCAAGGAAGGCTTCACTATTTCGCTCCCCGAATTTACCGAGGAAGAGGCTCAAGTCGCGGAGATCGTGTGAGGTGAGTGTTTTCGTTCATGGTGCGTGCGGAGTCACAGCAAGGTCCACCCTTCGCTGGGACGCAGGAAACATCCCATTTAAGAGGTGTGGTTCTGGGTATGAGCCAAGCCCCCACTAGGGGGCGCCGTCCAGCCGTCCTGCTCCTGCTGCCCCAGCGATGGCCCCCAGTGCAACGTGGGCTCTGAAGACCCTGGGCTCATTTCCTGGGGGCCAGGTCTGGGCTCTTGCTCCCAGCCCTGTGTGACTGCCCTAGTTGCCAGATACTTCCACCCCATTAACTCCTGAATTTGCAGCGAACCCAGTTTCCTTCTGGGAGGGGGGTGCAGGCACTGTCCTGCCTTTCCGTGGCTGCATCCCGTGGTGCTCATTTTCCCTATCAGCTAATTAGCCTGCAAGGAGATAGGGGCCCCTTTCTGAGGGCATATCGGGATGTGTGCAGGGAAAACAGCCCTAAGGTGTGAGCAGTCCCTGAACTCCAACAGGGCCACCGAGGCTGTTCAAGCTGGAAGGCCTGGTTCTGAGCCCTGAATTCCCGGAGTGCTGCAGCTTCCGAATGCATAATGTCCTGTTCTCAAGTTACTGCTGAATTTCTTTCCCATCCACTGAGCAAAAACTCATGCAGTCAAGGCTTGAATTTTAAGTGGAATGTTTCATTCGTTTATGAAGAGTTTAATTTAAAAAAAAAAAAAATCTCCAGCAAAGACAAACCATCCATTCCTGCTATGACTATTTTCCCTTCTACACAAAGAAGAGGATGCCATGTTGTTTTGTGGCATGGTTCTTTTAATAGATTTACTGAACCATTAATGTATTTACAGTACTTCTTTCTTCATCTCTTGCAACTCCTTACATCCGGATATCTTCTGTTTGGTTGCTCCTGAATACGGCACAGCAATGTGAATGAAATATTGTGTTTGAGACTTTTTCCTATTGAACTTGCCATGATCGAAGGATTGAGAACCAGTGAGACCAGGAATATTTTCTTTCTTGCTGGACCTGTGAGCTGCCTTTGTGGAGATATGTTTAAGTTCTGTACTGGGAAATAAGCTACTTCTGGGTTTATTAAAGACATTCGATACCAAATTTCATACAAGGTTTTATAATACAATTCTGTTTTCACTGTGTTAGGATCTGCTCCTCCCCAAAGGCCTTCAGCATCAAGACTGATGCTTAGAAGGAGGGAAGGCAGAGGGCATTTATGTGAGGGGCACAGGGGAGTTTTCCCTGCTACTCCAGCATGGAGACAGTGGACCAAAATTTATCTCCTCATGCTCCATAACTTCTTCCCTTGTTTAGGATCATGGCTTCTGGACCCCAAACACTTTGCTCAACCATGAAAGGAAACAAGGCCACCTTTACTATGAGGCCTCTTAGAGAGCTGGGCCAGTCTCCATCCATCCATGTATCCATACATACGTACATATATACAACCATCTGTCCACACATCCATGTATTCATATGAAATTCGATTAATCCAAGGAGCATTTATTAAGCACTTACTCTGTGCCAGCTATCACACTGTGGGACACAAGAGAATATGACACTTCCCTTGATCTTTTTTTTTTTTAGACAGAGTCTCACTTTGTTGCCCAGGCTAGAGTGAGTGCAGTGGCGTCAGCCTAGCTCACAGCAACCTCAAACTGCTTGGGCTCAAGCAATCCTACTGCCTCAGCCTCCCAAGTAGCTGTGACTACAGGCATGCACCACCATGCCTGGCTAATTTTTTTTTTCTATATATATATTAGTTGGCCAATTAATTTCTTTCTATTTATAGTAGAGACGGGGTCTCGCTCTTGCTCAGGCTGGTTTCGAACTCCTGACCTCGAGCAATCCACCCGCCTCGGCCTCCCAGAGTGCTAGGATTACAGGCATGAGCCACCACGCTTGGCCTCCCTTGATCTTTTAGCTCGCAGTTTAGTTAGGGAGAAGGAGACATAAATGGTAGTTACACAATATTAAGGACTAATAGAGCTATGCACAAAAGTGTAGAGGTAACATAATTCATTAATTAGAAAATGATAGATGGATGAAGGAATGGGGTCAGTTAAGGCAGTGGTCTATTATTGTCCCATCTTTGTATTTGTATTAAGTGTGTGTGTATCTATTTCCTTTCAGCCCTAGCCCACATGCTTATATAAGTTATGTTCATATAATAAAGACTTTGTTACTTTTGCCCTTTTATTGAACATTGTAAGTATCTGGCATCCAGAGACACCTACACATAAAATATACATATACATGTGTGCATACACAGACATCATGTGCAAATATATGCATATACATATATGTATGCAGGCATACATACACATATCTCTGTATATGGAGACAGAAAGAGAGAGAAAGAGAGGGAGTCTTCAGGGATCATATCCAAGAATTTTGATAAGAGCAGTGTCCTAAATCTGTATCCAGTGTTTTTTTTCTATGTCAACCAAGGATACCTAAGGGAGAATGTACTTTTCCTCCTTCTCTTAATGTCTGTTTTATGTTTAGCACTAATGAGAATTTACAAAAGAGATTGTTTTGAGAGCACTTTCTCTTAATTTCTCAATAGAGAGGTTATTAAACAAGAAGGACAACTAAACATCACAGGGCTCTTAGTTAACATTAAGTCAAAACACATCCGGTTGCTGGTGAGAGACATTAGGGCTTTACAGACAGGGATGACCCAAGAGACATTTGCCCCCCAAATGTTAATTATACAAAATGGCTTTCCCTCCTTTCATCAGAAACCCAACACTGGAGTTGTTGAAGTGTAAATGTAGGATAGAATAAATAAAAGTTTGTGGAATATATGTGAGTCTAACAAGCTTTAGTTTAGATACCCCTGGGAGGGTTGAGGAATTGGCTGTCAACATGATATATTAACACTGTAAACTGTAGTCATAGGTTATTTACTTTAGGCATTTTATTTATTCCATAGCACCAGATAGAGATACAAGATCATAAAACATAATGGTAAAATAAAGCAAAACTAATACAACATTGTTTTGCTCTGGCAGCTAAGGATTTATGAATATGGCTATGAGTACACTATTTAAGAGTTTTTGACTAGAACCAATAAAATATGTCTTCTGTTTTTCCTAACTAAAAAAAACTATAAGTTTACAAAAAGAAGAGATCCCAAACTGGCTGGGAGCACCAGCTTAGAGACCACGTTTAGACTACAAGGAGTCATTTCCACTCTAGCCTATTGCTAAACAAACATGTACTTCATGTCTCCAGAGATTTGATAAGTAGTTTAATTTCTGAGTTCACCAACAAAAGTTGTTGAAAGAGCCATTAAACTGCAGATTGCAAAACTTCTCAAATATGCTAAAAGCAGAAAGACAAACTGACATGTTGCTTTCAAATAATAAGCCCTTGAATTAAATCTGCATGTGACTAAGAGAAGAACTTAAGAACTCAGGCTCTTCCTATCACACTCCAGCAACTCTCTACCATTTGGTTCATTCAGCTTTTATTTTGTTGACGATACTACTCATTGATATAGGCATACTGTGGCCCACCTGGGTGACCATGTTATGAGTTTGTGCTGCCACGTGATTTCATGTACTATATTTGCATTTGTGTTTCTGATTTTTTGTTGTTGTTGTTGATTCCATTCCAATGGTCATAAGTGAATGGGACAAAAACAGATATGGGCTGGAATGTTTAAGTAAAGGCTAAATGAGCTTAGAGCATTCCATACAAACGAAGATTTCTTTGTAGAGCAAATAAAGAACATTGAGTGTCACGAAGCATATGTAGAATTGGGTTACAGGTGAGAGAACCTGTGTCATGGAAGTCACGCCATAGTTATGTTGTAAATAGCATTTTCATTTGGGCAATGCCACGTTGTTATGTTCAATGAATGTGAGTTTTATTCTTTTTGTTGTTTTATACCTATTTGTCATTTTCTTTTGACTTTAGAAGTATATGTCAGCTATAAAAATAAGAAGCTTATACCTATATCATATTTATGAATATTTAAGAAACCCTATAATAAAAACAAATCAGGTTAGTACTACAGGTTCTCAAGAATCTATTTCCTCTGTATTACTCAGGTTTGAGCAAAACTATTGTATTCCGCTCTGATTCCCACATCATTTCCCATGTGATTTGTTGAAAGATTGGAACCCCATGCCTGGGGCTCAGCTCTGGTCCTTAGGTAGAACTACACGGCCTCTATGACAGAGCCCCTTTTCAGCAACATTGGCTATTCCTGTGCATCCTGTGTTTAGCCCCACATTCTCTGCAATGTGGTTATGCCCCACATTCTCTGCAAAATGCTCAGCTGCCCTTGGTTGGGTGTGCTAATCTTTTAAAAATTAGAATAGCCTTCAAAGGAGTCCATGCAGCTCTGACTCAAATGTGGGGAGAGGAGACTTGTCCCCCGGCTGCAGGAGAAGGGCACAGGAAGTGACAGGAAGAAGCGGGGCACCACAGGAAAGCCATCAGCGAGTTCCCCAAAATCACTGGAGCACATATTCGGCAAAGCGCTAGTCTCTGCTCTTCAACCTTGTGGTCTTCTGTGCGTTTGTTTGTTCGGCAGCACAATCAACACGAGTTTGCACTGGCTGAGGACGACTCTGGGCGCAGGAGCCGCAGCTGCCCGGCTGGCTCCTATAGCACGGTGCAGATGCCCAGCATCACGACGAGGTGGTGGAGAACACCTGCGGACCAGAGCGGGCGGGGGCGGGGCGGCGCTCAGCAACACACCTGCAAGGCCTGTTGCAACTCCACGAAAGGGTTAACTCAACAAGTGTCAATTTAGGGGTTCCCAAGTAGGTGTTCACAAAACTCTGCACGTTTTATAAAAAGTCAGTTTTGCTTATCCCTTGGGGATTCTGCAGCTCTCGGTATCAGTACAAAGAACCCGGCAGATAAGCCCGGGTGTGGACCTGGGACCTTTGGGAGTCTGCACCTTGACCATACAGTGATGGGGCATTTCGCTCGAGGGCTTTTGCTATAGAACTGTCTTTAAAGATTATAATCTAGGATTGGAGTTTTAAAAGCTGATTCATGTGATTTTCCTGTAATTACTAGAGCAAAGCCTGCCTCTGTGAGTTTAGTAACAAATGGAACTGCCTTACCCCACTCCTCAAGTGGTTCCACTTGGCCATCATTCAGGTGAGATCGTGAGTCTTAGCTGAAATGTTTCTTCCTCTAGGGGCTTCCCTGGCGGCTCTCTAAGCCAAGGCCCGCCTCCTGCCCCGCTTACTTTACAGATATTAGGAAGGGAAGGGGCTTTGCCCTTCTTGTTCACTGCGGTAGCCACAATGCCTAGAAGAGTGTCTGCTACAGTCATCATAATTACGGTTGACCCTCACCGGATGTTTGCTGTGAGCCCGCATCATTGTTTAGTGCCCTTGGCTGTCATTAAATATCCATACAACCGTGAATGGTAGGGGCAATCATTAGCCCAATTTCACAGAGGAAACTGGGGTACGAAAGGGCAAGGTCATTGCCCAAAGTCACTCAGCTAATAAGGGACAGAACTTTACCAAGAACTCAAATATTTGTTAAATAAAAAGGTCATTGAAAACCATGTTCTCCAAATGCAGGGACCCAAGCAAAGGCACTTGGTGATGACTTTCCTGAGACTTGGGGGAGTGGGGTTCAGTTCTGCTCCATCCAGGGCACCCTCGATCCCCCCTCCCTTCAGAGGTCAGGGCTGGCTGGAGAAAGACCTCTCTGCCCCTCCCCCCAGCCCCACTCGGGTGTGCTTTCATGTGTGACTTCCAATCCTTAAAGGTTTGGTTGGGGCTAAAGTTAAGCTTCTTTTAGAACACATGTCTGCCTTTTCACAGCATTGCCCCATGACATTTCCCAAAGTATCTCTTCTCCTTACCTGAGAAGCTATAGAGACTCGAAAATCCCCTGCCTGTAGTGAGTAAAGAGAGAGAATGCAGAAGGTTTAAGAAAAGATCACAGCTGTGTTTCTTAAACAGAAACCTGACTGTATCTTCCCCTGATCAAACCACCAGGCATCCTTTAAGGCAAAGCTTATGCCAGGGTTGTACAGGCTTCCTTTCACATTTTTTCTCTAAGGCATGGGTTGGTAAACTTTCTGGAAAGGACCAGACAGTAAGTATTGTCAGCTTTGCAGGCCATACAGCGTCCGCCACCACTAGTCCACACTGTGGTCGAAACGTGAATGCAGCTGTAGACAACATCTAAATGCATGCGTTTGGCTGTGCTCTAACAAAACTAGCTTTATAGACACTGAAATGTGAATTTCATATAATTTTTATGTCATGAAACATTGTTCTTCTTTTGATGTTTTTTTTGGAACCACATAAAAATATAAAAAGTGTTCTTAGCTTGCAAACCACACAAAGTCAGACGGTGGCCTGGGCCTTAGCCCTCAGCCGTAGTTGGGCAACTGTACTCTAAGGCCTGGCTGCTACAGCCCCTACCTCCCCACATGTCACGCCATCCTTCGGGTCATACTTTAAGATCATCAGCAGAGGTCTTCCATGAGCCCTGCGCTAGTTTGAATCCTTTTGCCATATACAGGTTGAGTTTCCTTTATCCAAAACACTTGGGACCAGAAGTGTTTCAGAGTTCAGATTTTTTCTTTTTAAGATTTTGAAATATTTTCATTATACCAGTTGAGCAGCTCTAATCCGAAAATCCGAAATCCAGTGAGCATTTCCCTTGAGCATCATGTTGGTGCTCAGAATGATTCGGATTTTGGAATATATTGGATTTCAGATTTTTGGATTAGGGATGCTCAGCCTATATTCCCATAGAATCTGCCCAGCCTCACCCGCTTTAAGAGGAATCTCTCTTTTTGCTGGGCGATAAGTTCCTTGAGGACAGGGCCTGCAGGCATCTCATTTATTTCTGAACCCCGTACCCAGCCCAGCTCAATGGTGCTGGATGGTCGGTCAAGGTTTGTGGACTTGCACGCGACATTGCCAGGACATTTCAGTTTCTATGGTTACTGTTCCCTGCATGCTCTGGAAGCTCAGCACTTTCCAGTTCCTTGGGGCATTGGAACCGAGGCCACAGATAGAACTTCTCAGGGCGGTTAACCAACCTGGGCTCCTTGGTTTGGCTCGCGCTTCTCCCCCCACCCCCCTCGCCGGAGCGCTCGAGGAGCAGGTGAAGGTTGTGCCTACAGGCACAGCTGGTTTGGCAATTCGGTCAAAATGCTCAAACTGGCTGTGCCTGTGGACGCAGCCCAGAGTGAAGGCAACCGTTTGGGAAACAGAGCAGCTGCTTACTCCGCAGGGAGAGCTCCACGACCAGGACGCCCCCGGTCTGGTCCCGCAGGAGGCGCTTCCTTTTGTCGCAGGTCTGCAGACCCAGAGGGGTGCGGGGCGGGGCGGGGGGGGGGCGGGTAAGAAATGAACAAAAAGTAGAGAAAAGAGAGAAAGAAAAGAGATTTTTTTAAAAAAGCCACAAACTGGATGGACTCAAGATTCCCTGGTCAACCAATATTAGTTACCTTTTTTTAAAAAGATAAAGATAAATAGCTCAGGGAGACATTTTTTCATCCCTTCTCCAACTCGGGTAAATGCAGAAAGCTGTACTTTGTTAACTCCACAGTGGAAGAGATGATTGGGTGTGGAAGGACTGACACCATTGCTTTGGATAAGAGCTGTTTCTTTTGGTAAGGCTTTTATATACAGTTACTCTCATCACAGTGATTTGAGAAATAGACACTTGAAAAATGTGCTCTAGGTTCCTTTTCTTTCTTTGAATACGGTGTCTCCCATCCAAGTACTAACCAGGCCGGACCCTGCTTAGCTTCACAAGATCAGATGAGATCAGGTGCGTTCAGGGTAGCATGGCCACAGACTAAACATAGTGTCAGTACTCATCCTTTGATCAACCTCTCCCATCCTCCATCCTCTCCCTGGCTCTGCACCCTTTGGTTTCTTTCCCTTTTCCTCTTTGTGCTTGTAAAGGACCATTTTCTGGCCAAACGAATGGACAGAAATAGAGATTATAATCTCTATTTCTGTTGATTACTATGGGCCATGTGGGCAGGTAGCCTCTTTGAAAACACTGAGATCTCTAGTCCAAAGAGACCAGAGAAGGTAACAGTTTGGGATTCAGTACTTTTAAGTGTCTAAGGTGGTGGCTCTCAGACCTGAGTGACCACCAGGCTTATGACAGCTTCTTAAAGCTCAGATTTCCTGGGCCTTCCTCTTACACAGTCAAATCAGCCTTGACCCAGGTCAGGAATTCCTGCAGCATCTCCCTGGAGTTGCAGAGGTGGACCCTCCGTCTGCCCGATCAAGACCGAAAACACCCACCTTTTGAGTTATGCCCAGAGCCTGTCCCTGCCCCCTACACCTTGAATTTCCCTTGCACCTTGCAGCATCTGCCCCTTCGCCCAATGCCATTTCCTCCAGAATGCCCCCGGCACACCACTGCACTGGCCTGACTGTGATTCTGGCTCAAAACACAACCCCCTGCGGGTAACACTGTCCTTCAGGAGAGAGGTGGCTCACCACGGGGCAGGAGAACTTCTCGCTGTCACAGATGAAGGTCTCACAGTGTAACCAAACCTTGGAGAGTTTGGGGATGTTCTGGAACCGGAAAGCATTGAATTGGAAGGTCGCCCTGTGATCCTTCCCGTTCTCGTGCACGAGGACTGTGTCATCCGTGGGGCAACTGAGGCAGATGCGGGAAGGAAGAGACAACTGTCACCTCATGGAGCTCCAGCAGATCCCGCTGGGGCCGATTTACACACAGCGACACTCCCCTAGGTCTTCACACGGTGCCTCCCTCTTCCCCAGGCACTTTGGCCGCAGCACCTCACGTGATCCTCACACCCGTGGGGCCAAGTTGAGGAGATAAGAGTTGGATACGGCTGTCTCCATTCAGCAGACAACGTCCAGCGGGAGGGGAGTGACTTATGAGAAGCCACACAGCTGGTAAGTCACACCTCTGTCCCCAAGCACTGGCATGTGTCCAGACCCCGGGGGTAATACAAAAAAAAAAAAAAGACAGTGGTGCTGGGACAGCATTTCCCAGTGTTGTCACAGCTGCCTAGGCTCACGTCGCACCCAGTGCATTTCTATGTGTGTACTATGAGGTTTTGCCATTGGAAATCAGAATTCATATTATTTAAGTTATATTTATTATACACTAACCTTCATAATAATCTGGGCATATTTTTAATATAAGCACAGAAAAAATGATTAGAAGGATGCCACCTAAATGTTAACACTGGCTGTTACTGAGTATTGAAATTATGGGTGCTTTTTGCACTCTTCTTTGTATTTTTCCAAATTCTCTATAATGAGAATATAATATGTGTATAAAATTCCAAAGTTAATAATTCAGCAAAAGAAAAATAGATGAAAGACACAGATGGGCATTTTGTGAACCAGGGATTCTCAGCCAGGGGCCATTTTGTCCTCCAGGGCACATTTGACATTGTGGTTGTCAAGACAGGGTGACAGGGCTGCTGGCATCTAGTGGGCAGAGGCCAGGGATACTGCTGAACGTCTTACAGCACCCAGGACAGCCCACACAGAGAAGGATTCCACCCAACATGTCAACGGTGCCAAGATTGAGAAACCCTGGTTTAAGGAAAAATATTTTTTTCATTTAACAAAGACACACTGATCGCCTGTTTAAGTGCCATTTAACTAGGTGTTGGTAGCAGACATTCTTGGGAATGTACAGGGAGGCCCAACTGAGTGTGGGGGCTTGTTATCTGCAGGTGACAAGGGACACCGGATTCTGTCCCCTTATAGGGAAAGGTCCGTGGGTTGAGAAGCCCAAGACCAGTAAGCAGCACCACAGTGGGACCCAAAGTTAACGCTGCTCCAGGAGTCTCTGTGACTTCATTGTAAATCCCACCAGCGCACACACCAGAGAGGGGCCCAGTTACCCCAGAGGACCCTCACGATGTGCCCGCCCTGTTCCCTTAGAACCAGACATGAAAGGGCCAAATTCAGGGCTGGACCTAAGGATGGCAGGTCTGATAGTGAGGGAGTGACACGAGTGGATGCTGGACCTTCAGATCTGGACCAGGGGCCAGAGCCAGTTCAGTTTGGGGTGGCTTCCGAGCAGTGACGAAGCTGGGGGCCTTTTCCAAGTTGTGAAACAAGACTCTGGTAGGATCATTTGGTCAATAAACCTGAGATCCCCGTATGAACTCAAGATGTGAGTCCTTAAAATAGCTCTTTGCAGCCAGAGTGCCCCAGGCATGGTGTCAGCCAGTGGAAAATAATGTAAACAGAGCTTTGTTGGAGGGCGGGGAGGTGGCTGATGCTAGGCGGGTGTAGATGCCTGGCATTGCTGCCTCTGGGCACTGGCCGTGTCAGCTACCTCTGGATGGAGGAAGCCCACAGGAGGCTTTTACACTGTCACTGCATGAGTCTCCTTCCCCACACGGGATGGGCCTTTGAGATGGGTGCACTGCTTTGCGTGCACTTGTGTGCACAGGGGAATTCCTGGTGCTAGAGCTGTTGTAATCTCTTGAACACTGAGTTTTCCCAAAGGGGCCCACTGTGATCAAAAATCATCTGGAAGGTTGTGAGAGTGGACTTTCCAGTTCTCCCCTTTGGCACTGGCCTTTGGGCATGCATCTCCAAGCTTGGGGTGCCAAGTCAACTAGGCAGGATGGAGAAATTGATCAGAATGTCTTAAATCTGTCTGTTGAAATGCAGATTCCCAGGGTTTCCCTAGAGATCGTCTGACATGGTAGGTTTATGATGCACCTGCATGTGTAACAGGAGCCCTAGGTAGTTTGTGTGTCCACTAGAGTTTGAGGATCACTTGTACAGACCACCCTAAAGCTACAGGCGCCTATATTACACATTTGTCACGTGGGAGCAACAGCACAAGAACTATTTGCAGGGAGATGATTCCATGAGTGGTAGAAGCCTTTGCCCAATGACCACTGCCCGAGAGAGGCTCCCAGTGCCTGGCTGTAATTTCAGGTCCCTGTAGGTCAGTAATTGATTTCAGAATTCCTGAAGTCATTTGACTGCACCATTGCTAACAGAACCTAACTGAATAGAACCATTCAATCAATGACAGATGTGGGGCAAGTACCCAGGTTAAGCCCCCATCTCTGCAGGAAGCTCCGCCCAGCCTGCTCAGCAGGTAGCACTGCCTGAGACTGAACCCCAGATCTCCTTCTTGCAAGCTCCAGCTCTTCAGCAAGTTTCTGGACCTGCCTGTGCCTGTTTTTCATCTATAAAATAGTGCCTATTATACTATCTACTTTATAGAGGGTTTAGTGACATTTAAATAAATTAGTATGTGTAAAGCACCCATATAGAACAATGCCCAGTATATTCTAAGAGCTGTGTAAGTGTTTGTCAAATAGAAACAAAGGTCCTAAGTAGCTCCACCTTTGTTATTTAATTTTCTTTGTCCCTGGCTGCAGTTTTTCCTTGGCCTGATGAGTTCTGATGATAACAGGGCACAGAGGTCTGCTTTGTCTGGGGAATGGCATCTTCTTTGTTCACTGTTACTGTGTGGGTGATGCCCACATTTTCTGTCTGGCTCAACCTCTCCTCTGTTTTCCCAAGTTACAATTCTAAGTACTTCCGGACAATTGTCACGTGAAGCTTAGTGTGCCCATCCCCGAACTCAGGCAGAATCCACACTCCCTTATGCAGAAACCCCCTATCCCAACAGCCGCTGACACCACTCCTCCGCCTTGTAGTACACAGATTTAACGACACAAAGCCATCTTTGTCACATAGCCCTCAGATACTCCCTCTGCCTCCACCCAATTAGCTCCCAAATATTTCTCACTCTGAGAAAAAGGATAATGGGTGTAGAACATAGTTAGCTAATTAGATAGAATGAATACAATATTTCATAGCACAAAAAGTGACTACACTCAACAGTAAGTTAGGGCAGACTTTAAAATAACTAAAAGAGTGGAATTGGAATGTTCCCAACACAAGGAAATGACAAATGCTCGAGCTGATGGATCCCCCAGTTACCCTGATGTGATGATTACACTTTGTATGCCTGTATCAAAACATCACCTGCACCTCATAGACAACTATTAAGTACCCATAATAATTAAAAATGGAAAATTAATTGGGAAAAAAAAACCCTTCTCTCTCCCTTTTCTCTCCCTTTTATGACTGTAATTCTGTTCACTTGGCTACGAGATCAGCTCAAGTCTTATCACCTCTGTGCGATCACTGCCGCAGCCTCTGAGCTTGGTCTCCTCACCTCGCACGCACGGTTTCTAAACCTTCCTACACATGACGCCCAGAAGAGCCTTTCTACCGTACAATTCCGATACTACTTCAGTCCTCTACTCTAGATTTTAAAAGCTTCCCATTATCTACTGGATTAATAATAAAAATAATAATTTTATTTAAATTGGTTGGATATAAACTATCCAGCCTTCCTTATCCTCTCCTGTGCCTCAGTTTTCTCATCTGTAAAATGGGGATGATAGTAATACTACCTTCCTACTATAAGGCTTCAATGAGTTAACATAGGTTAAAGCTCTCAGAACAGTACCTGGTACCAAGGAAGCATTACGCAGTGCTTCCTAGTATTTGTACTTTGCCTGGAAGCACAGAAGATGCCACTGATGTCACCCCAACAGGTGCCACCTCTTGCTCCCAAGCTATCACAAGCCGGAGCAAAGTAGCCCTGGACATACCTGGCTCTGCTGCTCAGGCCTGTCCAGGTGGTACAGGGACAGTGGTACCTACCCCTTGTTGATCAGCTGCCACTGCAAGGGATACATGAAGTCAGCGGAGGGTGTGGCCCAGCAGCTGTTCAAGACCACTTTAAACCTAGAAATAAAACAAAATGGCATCATTTTGAGCCAGAGAGTCTCATGCCTAGAAACATCTGGTGATTAAAAAGCATCTCATGTCTATGGCCATACCACCCTGAACACCCCCGATCTTGTCTGATCTCAGAAGCTAAGCAGGGTCAGGCAGGCTTGGTATTTGAATGGGAAAAGCTGTATCAGCTAGTCTTTTTTGTCTTTTCTTTATATTTAAAAATATAAACCTAGAGGAAATGTGCTTACCTGATGCTTAATCCTTTGGCTTCTACTCCTGCAAACAGATCTGAACCGATTTCGGATGTTTCCAGGACAAAGGGGGCTTCTTTCTTGGTGGAGAACTTGGCATTCTTTGGAAGGAAATTGACACTGGGTGTTATGACATCTCACACTGAGCAGCTGGGTCTGGCGGGAGCAGGTGAATTGGGATGGGGTGGGGGTGAGAATTAACCCAAAGACATAAGCGCCTGAGACCACAGAGTGTCTCTCCAGGACCAGAGAAGCCTCAGCTTCTAGGATGCTAGTGCCATCTTAGAAGGGACAAGGACGTCACACAGTCTGCCCTTGCTGGCCATGGCAAAACACATACTGTATGCATGTTTCATTTATGACAATGAGATTTGACTGATGGGAAGAAAGTGGAGCCCAGGGATGCTGAGTCACTGTGTTCTACTGAACACAAACAGCGCCTCCCTGCCCTTCTTCCTCTCTACCTTTTGCCTGAGCAGATTTCAGCCTGGGTTGGAAAATTTATGATCTGATTCTCAGTAACATTAACAACAACAGCAACAAAAACAACCACAACTTACTGATCACCTACCACATGTGGGGCACTTTTCTTTACATTGGGATAGTCTCTATGTCAAGATATTCTGCATATTGAAATACATTAGTGAACAAACAGCAAAGATGTCTGTCTCCAGCGAGTCTGGGTTCTAGCAGAGGAGACCAACTATAGACAAGAAGTCAATTATATAGTCTGTTACAATGGAATGTAGTACATTATATAGAGAATCTATTATGCAATAGACATAAGGACAAGGCGGATTGGGAGTGTGAGGAAGGGCAGGTTGCAATCAAATACAGTGGTTGGGGAGGCTTCACTGAGGACATGGCATTTGAGCATGCCTTGGAGAGAGAGGGAGGAAGGAGGCCGTGCAGCCACCAGGGCCAGATTGCTTGAGTTGGGGCAAAGGCCCTGGGCCCTGGCAGGACAGCAAGGAGGCTTGGAGCAAGTGAGCAAGGCGGGCAGTGGAGAGTGGGGAGGGGATGCGGTTAGAGAGGCCATGGGGGTGGGTGGAGAAGTGTGGGGCTGCAGCTTTGAGTGCCCTGGGGGAGTCATCACCTCGCTTTGAGCGGCAGGTTCTGATCACTGGCTTGGCATGAGTGGTGTTTGCCTGCCGTCTTCATCAGAACGTTCTGGGCAAGTCATTAGGAATAATAGCAGCGTTTCCAGTGGCCTTACCCAAAGGAAGCTGATCTCTCCATTCTCTGCATCTTGGGTTTGTGCAATTTTAGCAACAACCTTCAACTACTCTGTGGCCTCCAGAGACAAAAGCATCGTGATGGGAGGGCGAGGACTGTAGGTTAACCCCAGCTCCCACTGCTAACTTGGGACACACTGCAGGCAAGTCAGCCTTGCAGGCCTCAGTTTCTCCATATGCAAAATGGGAATAACCTTTGTGACTTTATATAATAGAAGAACAAAGCTTAGGCCAGGGTACTATTTAAAAGATAGGGCTTGGAGATTTACGGAACTGTAATAGGCAGACAGTGGCAGGAGGAGCGGATGTTCAGCAAGGATGCCTGGTTAAGATGGACTTCACTCCTTACATGTTAAACACACAGGGACATTGCTGAGAGGACTCAGAGTCCCTTGCATGTTCTGTAGCCTCTTACATTATTTTACAGACTGGAGGCCCAGCCAGGGCTCCCCGACTCAGTCACCTAAACTCAGCTGTTTTTCTCCCATTTGTCAGGCCCCTGCACCCTTTAAAATGGTTGCCATAATTAAATAATAATGTTCTTAATCATAAGGGATTTGCTAGTTTTATCTGCAGGTTCAAGTGGCAGATTTATAGTGATTTTTAAGGTCCCTTGTTATTTTCTGAGATCTGTCATGTTTCGAGAGACCATTTTGTATATGAGAACTTCCCTGGGGACCACCTGTCGTCCTCAAGCAGAGGTCCTCCTCCCACTCCTCCCAGGGACCAGCCAGCAGAGTATTAGGATATTGGGATGAAGCCTCTACTCATGGGGGAGCCCTGCCTGATTCTGTTACAAAGTAGAGAATAGCACCAGCTCCATTGATTCAATTTCTGAAAAAGAATACTTTGAATGATCAGGTTCTCTGCTTTCTCACCCAACATCTAAGGCAATGCTTAGCACGATTTTTCCCTACTTTCTTCATAACATGAAAATTAGCAAGTGATTTCCAGATTAAGTAGAGCCCCCCTTACCCATAGGGGATATGTTCCAAGCTCCCCAGTGGATGCCTGAAACTGTGGGTGTACTGAACCCAATATCCACTGTACTTTTTGGATATGATGACTGAGACAGCTACCAGGTGACTAATGGACAGGTAGTGTCTATAGAGTGGATACAATGGACAAAGGGATGATTTATGTCCCACGTGGGACAGAGTGGGATGGTGCGAGATTTCATTATGCTGCTCAGAACAGGTGTGTAATTTAAAACTTATGAATTGTTTATTTCTGAAATTGTCCATTTAATCTTTTTGGAGCATGGTTGACTATGGGCAACTGAAATTACAGAAAATAAAACCTTGGATAAGGAGGGACCTGGAAAGTTTATCTTGGCATCCCTGGAAACATAGAAATGCTACATAAACTACTTGTTTATCGAGGAGAATGGAAGACCGCCTTGAAAAATCATGCCATCCAGTCCCTTCACTTTACTGAAAGGTGGAGTCACAACTATCCAGTGACACAAGTTAAGGATGGGTACCCCTTGTTTAACAATAGTTCATGTGGAAAAATCTAGAACTTGCTTTTGCTCACAAACTCAATGTGAGATGGTGGTGACATTTATTATCATAGGATATGTTCCCAGAGTCTTCCAGAACCTAAAAGGTCACCTCTGACCTACTGTGCCCTGCATTGGTCTGACAAGGTCTAGAACTGTGGTCTCTAGGCCCCAGGCTGTGGCCTCGTACCAGTGTGTGGCCCCTTAGGAAATGGGCCACACATCACCAGCTGAGCTCCACACTTCCCCCTCTTCCAGCCCACAACAACCCACCCCCCAAACCCTGTTCTGTGGAAAAATTGTCTTCCATGGTCCTTGGTGACAAAAAGGTTAGGGACCACTGATCTAGAACACAACATTTCAATTCTGGGCTCTGTTTTTTAATAGGGGCACTGACCAACTGTCAGATTTAGAGAAGAGTGACTAGGGTGGTGGATGAAACGCCAGTAGTGAACAGATGTTTAGCTTGGGGAAGATGTTTAGCTACAGATATTGGAAGGGCTGTCAGCACCATAATTACATGGTGTCATTTCAGAAGACAGAACCAGGGCAATGGCTGGAGTGCAGGGTGTCAGATTTCATATGCTGATCTAAAACGGGAAGGCCCCAATCACCATTGTCTCGGGGAGAGGCAGGGAGGCCACCCCTTACTTAGCAATCTTGTGGAAGGGTTTTAGGCTTTGGGTGGAAAGTCAAATTTGATCACCTCTGAGGTTTGTTTTGACTCTGAGTTTGTGATTTGGGTTTCTATTGTTTGCATTTGTTCCATCCCAAGCTTTCTCCTTTCTCTCTAAGAGGAATGATCAGTACCGTTGTGATTGAATAAAAGTCGGTCTAATCCCACACTGACATTGACGCTCAGCTCTCTAGGAGTAACGATGCTAGGAGCCCTCGGAGCTTCCAGTTTAAATAGGGTCAAAGTTTACAGTCATGGGAATTACTCCTTTCTTAGGCATTTAACTTGTGCCAGACACTGTGCTTCCAAAGATTATTTCATTTAATTTTTATAACAAACCTACAGGGTAAATGCTATCATTATCTCTACTTAACAAATGCAGAGATGGAGGCCCAGAGAGGTTAACTAACTTGCCCAACACAACTAGCAAATGTGGAGCAAGACTTCAAACCAGTGGTCTGATGGCAAGGCCCGTCTTCTTAACCACACACAGCACCAGGCCACTTCTGGAAGCTGACTACCTTCCTGTGTTTTTTGTTGGGAGTCAAAATAACTTTCTCTAGGAATACCAACCATGGCCCCTGGCAGGAACGGGTGGGAGGGCGATGCAGAGAAAAGCAAGAGGAAGCGCGCTAAGTAGAGCTGGCGCTTTAGGAGCCCAGCATTTGGAGCTCTCCAATCCTAAGCAATTAGCAGAGCATTGATGCCATTGTGCTATGTAGGGCACAGCTCTGTTTCTGGTAATTTGATGGAAATATATGCGGGAGCAGTTGTTGCTTCTGAAACACACAAGAATGCTCTCAAAGCAGAGGGAGGGAGGAGAAAAAAATACCAAGCCGGTGGGGCAGGCATAGGAAACCGAGGTGGGAATATTAATCAGTATCGAGGTTCCTGTGCAGCAGAGCTCCCTCTTTGCTGAGGTCCCTTTGTCCTGCAGGGGTCACGGTGGGCTTCAGGGGAGGCCTTAGTCTCATGTCTATACCAGTGCAAGGAGGTATCCTGTTAGCAGGTCTATCCAGCCCTGAGAACATGCCTTTTAATTTTTTTTTTTTTAAAATGAGCTCCTTCCAGTTCTAAGATTTGATATTTGGTTTGTGTCTGAAACTCAGCCCAACACGGCTGATGATTTTCAACAATCCTGACGTCTCTCCATGGCCAACTGTTGTAAAACCTTCATAGGATCGTATCTACAATTTTATCTGGTTAAAATAACAATGATCCACTTCCAGACAGGAATTCAATAGTAAAGGCAGCCTGTCATCAGGAAGTCCCCTGAGACTGCTGTCAATGCGTAGAAGTCTATTTTCCTCTCTGGAAAGCCTTCGCCAGTGACTGCGGTGGTTTCGCCGTCCTCTCCTCATCCCGGTGGCCCACGCTGTATTTTACCCCTATTGTAGGTCACGGGCTGTATGAGATTCCTTTTCCTTTTCTTAGTATTTAGCCACTAGTGATATGTGGCTAGAAGCAGATTTAGATTTTTTTTTTTGAGCCAGAGTCTCACTCTCTTGCCTGGGCTAGAGTGCCATGGCGTCAGCCTAGCTCATGGCAACCTCAAACTCCTGGGTTCAAGCGATCCTCCTGCCTCAGCCTCCCGAGTAGCTGGGACTACAGGCATGCGCCACCATGCCCAGCTAATTTTTTTCTATATATTTTTAGTTGGCCAATTAGTTTCTTTCTATTTATAGTAGAGATGGGGTCTCACTCTTGCTCAAGCTGGCTTCGAACTCCTGACCTAGAGCAATCTGCCCGCCTCAGCCTCCCAGAGTGCTAGGATTACAGGCATGAGCCACCGTGCCCAGCCTGCAGATCTAGATTTTGTGGAACCTTGAAGCTTATACAATTTGGAGAGCCCTCTTTGATAGAAAGAATCAAAATTTTCAAAACAAAATTAGACACAGGGCTTTGTGTCAGGCCCTGAAATTTAAGTTTCATTCCCTTCACAAATGAAGTGGCTATGGTTAGCAGGTCTGTGTTCTAGAATGGGCACTGCTCTGAACTACCTGTAGGGTATTGGGCTAATCACTTCCTCCCTCTGAGCTTCAGATTCTAATCTGAACCAGGTTATTCTAGGGTCCCTTCCAGCTCTCACCTTCTGAGTTTAGCAAGGTTAATAGTTTCCAGACAGGCCAGGCACAGTGGCTCAGGCCTCTAATCCTAGCGCTCTAGGAGGCCGAGGCGGGAGGATTGCTCCAGGTCAGGAGTTCAAGGCCAGCCTGAGCAAGAGCAAGACCCCCTCTCTACTAGAAATAGAAAGAAATTAGCTGGACAACTAAAAATATATACAGAAAAAATTAGCCAGGCATGGTGGCACATGCCTGTAGTCCCAGCTATTCGGGAGGCTGAGGCAGGAGGATCGACTGAGCCCAGGAGTTTGAGGTTGCTGTGAGCTAGGCTGATGCCATGGCACTCTAGCCCAGGCAACAGAATGAGACTCTGTCTCAAAAAAAAAAAAAAAAAAAGAAAAAAGAAAAAGAAATAGTTTCCAACAGCAGGTGAAGCAAGTTCAAAGAGTTCAAAGTTAGTGGAGTTCCAGGTGGGATAGCTTTTTCCTTTGGGAAATGAATGGGCTAGGCATGATGCCCTCTAAGGATATCTTCCAGTTCTAATGCTCCATGTAAAGGTTTGTATTTCTGCCTGCATCCTCCTCTAGCCAGCTGGGCCAGTGTCTCTATGTGCATGTGTCCTTACTGCTAGCTGCAGGTTTGAAAAACAAAGCACCCCTTCTAAACAGCAGAGAAGCTGGGCTAATGGCCACTGCCATAGTTTCTCTGGAGCACTTTATTTTGGGAGAGACCAAAGTGTGTGTTTAACTTCAATGTCAACATAGGCAGCCTGCCTAAATTAGACAGCAAGGAAACCCACTAACTGAAAGGTTTCAGAGACCAGAGAATTAGGCAGCAGCCCAACCCTTCTCCTTAGTCCTATCCCAGGCAGGAAGCTCAATTCCGTGTGCTAAAGGGTTTTAAGAAGAGCTAAATCCTAAATATAAATCTCCAGAGTGAGTTGCAGTAGATATTAATCTTGATTAAGAGTCCAACATTGAAAAAAAAAAAAAAAGAGTCCAACATTGGCTATCTTATCATTGACTACTATTGACCTTGTCTCAATTTCCTCATCTGTAAAATGGGAAGGTTATATATCTTGTGGCACTTTTCAGCTCTTCTATCCAGTCTGTGAATCTGACTTTCTGCTACACCTGGTATTTTCCTTTTTGAGATAGCATCTCGCTCTGTTGCCCGGGCTAGAGAGCAATGGTGTCATCATAGCTCACTGCAACCTCAAACTCCTGGGTTCAAGCAATCCTCCTGCTTCAGCCTCCCAAGTAGCTGGGACTACAGGCACATGCCACCACGCCTAACTAATTTTTCTATTTTTTATAGAGACAGGGTCTCCCTTTTGCTCAGGCTGGTCTTGAACTCCTGGCCTCAAGTGATCCTCCCGCCTCGGCCTCCCAGAGCGCTAGGATTGCAGGCATGAGCCACCATGCCTGCCCTACACCTAGTCTTTAAAGAGGTTTAAAGCTAACCCAAAGCTTATGTCTCAACTTGAATCCAAGAGTGAGGCTCTGCATAGAGCTTGGGGAAGAATGAATCCCGCGGAAGCATCCCATCATCTCCTGGAAAGGCCACAGGACAGTAAAGGGAACCTGGAGACCACTTACAGTGTAGAAGTTGAGAGACAATTGGCTTTCGAACGTGCCCATGCTCCCGTTCTTCACGTGAACAGTGGCCACTCTGAAAAGGGGAGAGAATTTTGCATAAGGACTGAAACACGCCTGGTTGCTAGGGACTGCAGCACACATGCAGGGCCGCCAGCCCGCCACGCTGCAGAGCAACTTACCTCTGGTCGAAGGCGGCCTGGTTCACCAGGTAGGTGGAGTGGTAGGTGCAGGAGAAGGAGTAGTTGACAGGCTGGTTTTTCACGATCACCGTGCTGTCATTGGAAACAATGTGGCTGTAGAAGTGGTAGATGGGTGGCTTGTACTAGAGGAAGGGAGGAGGCAGTCAGGGTGGCCCGGCGCCCCCCAGATGGGAACGTGGGCTCTGGGAAAAGTCAATGAAGACGGCTTAGGAAAAAGACCAGTGGAGAGACAGGAGCGTCTACCATTGACGGTGGCATCCTCTCTTTTTGTCTGCAAGTGAGCTGATAATTTTTGTAAAGAGTTCTTGTGTCCGTTCAAGTAAAATTGTTTAAAATAATTTAGGTTGATATTATATGCTTTTAAAAAATCCATATACTCATTGGGCTCTGACCAAAAAGAACTGGCTCAAGAATCTATTTCCCAGCATCAACTTTTTATCCATTTCTCCTGCCCAGGTATCCTAAGTGAATGCTTCACCCATCTCCAGTTTCTAGAATGTTACTGTCTAGTTCTTTGCTCTTTCCTCCTTCTGACCATAAACATTATTTCTTTTGTTTCTTTTTCTTTTTTGAGACAAGGTCTTTCTCTGTCACCCAGGCTAGAGTGCAGTGGCACCATCATAGCTCACTGAAGCCGCAAACTCCTATGCTCCAGTGATCTTCCTGCCTCAGCCTACCAAGTAGCTAGGACCGCAGGCACGTGCTACTATCCCTGGCTGATATTTTTTTTTTAGAGATGGGATCCCACCATTTTGCTCAGGCTGGTCTCAAACTCCTGGTCTCAAGTGATCCTCCCACCTCAGCCTGCCAAAGAGCTGGTATTATAGGCAGGAGCTACCATGACTGGCCCATAAACACTATTTCTGAGACTCTTTCCTCTGACTTGTTGGACTCTAAGAGCACAGAATATCAGCTGTAAGAGATATCGAATATCCACTTGAGAAGTGACCTACCTGAGACCACACAGATGATTTCTAGTTCACCTTGCCAAGATATACTCAAAGTCATGATGTTTTGCTAATCATACCTGTGACTCTTCCCACTAAATCACTGAGTCTTTGTGAGGCTTTTAGGAAGGGGAGGTGGCCCTGGAAGCTCTTTGCTTTCATCTTCTGAAATCTGCAGATGTGCAGTCTTCTGGCAGTCCAGGTGGTAGGCATGCTGGACCACAGAGGGAGGGACAGAAGACCCAGCCTCCCTTCATGGCCACATCCCTACTGGTGCTGTGGCCCTGAGCTGGGGACTTTATCGGGCAGTCTCAGATTTCCCTCTGTCATAGGATACTTGGCAAGAGGATGTTTGTGTTTCCTTTTCATTCTATGATTCCTCACCTGGGCACTTTACACAATCAAGTTACGAATTGTGTTGTACTTTGGCCATGTCCTTAAAATATTCCAACGCATGTTGTCACCCCTTCAGAGCCTCGGCGGAGGTTGTCTCACACATCCACCCAGGAAGGATGGCAGCTTGTGAGCACAAACTCAGAACTTGAAGTGGGTTAGATGTGGGACATGTGCTTGCTTCTACTCACAGAAGGTAAGCTGGCTAGTCCCGGTGACAAATTAAGAGAATAAAAGTCAGGCTAAAAGAGTTATCTAAACTAGGCAGAAGAGAAGGTTTAAAGTAACACCACCATCCCAGGAAATCTGGAAGACAGGATTGACAACAGGCATCTCACGTTTGAGCCCAGCTGCTCTATCTTAAGCAACCCTGCATTGCGCAGCCTGACCTTACCTCCGACTGGGTTCCACAATAGGACTTGTTTTTAGGTGATAAGTCTGGAATTACAAACTGGTAGTAACCTCCTTCGTGGACCCCATTGTAACACAGCCCTCCAAGAGCCAGCTGATGCACTTCCCATCCATAGGGACACTCGGGGATTTTGGTGATGATGGTTTTGGGATAACAAAACACGAGGATGACATCTAGAAAGATATGATAATCATGTTAATCTGTGTAAGGAACAGTGGATTGCAGCAACACCTGAACATGCAAAGCAGTAGGTTAAAATAACACTCTCCTCCCTATTGTTTACCAGTGGTGATGGAAGTTTTCCCCAAACTTCAGTCACTGAAGTTCCACTTTTATAGTTTTTGCTACATTAGTTTAATAACTGCATTACACTTGATGCGTATTTAAAATTGGTCCATTTTAAAACTCTAATTTTATTTTATGGAATATATCTGTGAAACCACAGATTAGATGTATTGAATATATATAAATAGATATTAAACCCCCCATGAAAATGAACACATAATTTAAAATTTTTTTTTTTTTTTTTTGAGACATGGTCTTACTCTCTTGCCCTGAGTAGAGTGCTGTAGCATCAGCCTAGCTCACAGCAACCTCAAACTCCTAGGCTCAAGTGGTCCTCCTGCCTCAGCCTCTCAAGTAGCTGGGACTATAGGCTGTCACCATAATGCCTGGCTAATTTTTCTATTTTTAGTAGAGACTAGGTCTTGCTCTTTCTCAGGCTGGTCTTGAACTCCTGAGCTCAAGCAGGCCTCCGCCTTGGCCTCCCTGAGTGCTAGAATTACAGGCGTGAGCACCTAGCCAGTAACTTAAAATTTTAAAGTATCAATTTCATACATATTGTAAAACACTGATTTATGGCACAGGACAGAAACTCAACAGTCAAAAACTGTGAAGATGTTTTTAATGTATGTGTATAGAGAGAGAGGGGGGGGAGATAGAGCATTTTCTAATTATAAAAAAGTCTAAGTTTATCCATGTAACAAATTGTACTTGTACTCCTTAAATTTATACCGAAAAAAGTCTAAGTTTATCTAATGCATTTTTGTTTCCTGTGGGAAAAGTCTGATTGGCATTGGGGGGGGAGTGCTTAAGTTCTGTCTACTTGGCTACATTATTGCATTTTTATAACAAGGTAAGCACAGAGCTCTGAGCCTTGCAAAGGAAAGATTGAGGAAACATATCTTTCTGGGGAAAGGGATGGGCACCAGGGCATACCTGCTTTGTTTGGAGTGCATGATTTTGCAGAGGCTTCTGCAAAGATGGCCAGCAGGACGAAGGCCCTCATCACCATTGCTTCTCAGTACCTGGTCTTTGCCAGGCAGCCAAGCCAAGCTGGCCAAATGTTTACAGTCTTTCCAGAGCTCGAGCCTCGATCATTCTAGGTCAGAAGCATGAATGAAAAGTTAAATCAAGGGTAAGAACAAAGCGGCACACGTAGTGTTGAGGGAAATTTCCAAGGGAGATCGGTGATGCCTTCCCCCGTTTCTAATTGTCAGCATAGAGAGGCAAAAAGTGAGGCTCATACCACTGGGCGCGTCAGTGACACATGCAGTTGTCCACGTTCCCGACTGTTTCATCCTCTCTGGACTTGTGGATGTTGCCTCTGGATGCTCCCCAAGCTCCCGGCCCCAGTCCTAGCTTGGCTTTATATAGCCCGAGGGTGTAAAAGAAACCGACTCCAGATAAGTCACAATGGGCCTGCTTATCCGCCATGAGGGCAATAAAAGGGACCTTGCACGGTAATCCTACGGGAAGCTCAGTTACCACTTGAGTCTCGTTTCTTTTACTTTGCAGAATTGGATAAACTGTTTTTTTTTTTTTAGACACTGCTTCAACCAGGGTTGAAATGAAAAGTTGATTTTTCCCCCCTCCTATAAAAAATAACTCTGGAGGCAAACTGTTTCTGCACAGTTCCAGGTGACAATTGTCTTTCTTTTGTGTCTTGCTTTCTTTGCTTTATTTCTTGCTTTTTATTTTTATTTTTTTTATGTAGGTGAACTAAACTTTGAACTTAAGCAGACTCAAATTCAGCATCGTTACATGTGATAACTCAAACAAAACATAGGCTGTTTGTGTTCATGCAAACATTTTAAAGGGTTTTTCTTTTGCTCTAATTTTTTAAAACAAACTCTGACACCTAGAACTTCATCCTGAAATACAACTTTTAATTGCACACCCTTTAAAAGCTTCTAAAGCTTTATTAGTCTCCCAGAGTGAGGTTGTTGAAAGAAGGAACTTAGAAAGGCACTCTTATAATTCAATCCTTAGTCATCCAACAGCATCCCACTGAAAACAACAGATAAAATGTTGTGCCCATGAAGGTGGCAGATTTGTTCCTGGGAGTGCACATAATTTAATGTTTCAAAACATCAGGTGCGTCTCACGAGCAATATGCATACATAATATGGTAGAGTTTCCTTATTTCCCCAAAACCTATTGTTAAATTGATGGTATGTTTTATAATGGCAGTGTCAGAGAATTAAGGAAATAGCCATGTGGCAAGCCATTAAAATGTCTGTGACTCAGTTTCCTTTTCCATAAAATGGAAGCTATAGCCCTGAGTTGAGCTTGCAGGCTCAACTGCAAGCAATGATGTGGACCCTCTTGTAAACTGCAAAATAGTGGGTAAATAAGTAGATTATGTGAAAAGACAGCTAATAATTTTTGGCAATGTGTGTGTGTCCCAGGATTTGCTTTTCTTTTCCTTAGAGGTACCACCAAGTGTCCCGTTGTAGATTTACGACATGAAACATATCTATATCGTATAACACATATGCAATATATTTTGTGAATGAAGACCAAATGGGATGGAGAGGGGAGGAGTAAGAAACATATTTTTAAAAAATTTTTTTAACACTAGGATCGAGTTTAGTATGGCCTGGAAACATGAGAACATTTATAATATTCTCTGTGGCTCATTCCAGAGCAGAATAAAGACACTTGAATCTCACAAATATCTGTGAATTCTGAGTTTCTCTTCCTGGGCTTAATACTAACTCCTTGTTTGAAGGAAACATTTATTGGGCCCCTGTTGTGTACCAGGCACTGGACTAGGTCCTGGGAGGACGCAGGTGCTTCAGAAATGACTTCTTTCCCTGAGGACCTGCGGGAGGACAGTGCATGGAGTGGTGGGGACGCAGGGGGGAGAGAGTGCTTGACAGAGGAAGTGACAAGTGTGCCCAGATACAGATGTCTGGAACAGCCCCACTGTGTAAGGAAGGGGCCTCTGATTTGACATAAATGATTATCCGTCATTGACGACTCAGTGTTGCTCTTCTGTGTGGGTTGGGATGTTTGCTCCCATTTCAAGAGGATTCTTTTCACACGTCTTCAAATATGTATTTCTTTTCAGCCAATGTGGGCCCAGGGAGGTCAGCAGAATCGTCTTGCCTCTGACCTAGCGGGGCAGAGTTCATGCATGGCAAGGGTTGCAGTGGACATAAACACCTGTCCTCTCTCCCAGTGGAAATGTCTGACGGTGCTGGCGAGACGCTGTGAGGTGCGGCAGGGTAAGGCTGAGACTCTGCCGTCTGCCTGGAGCCCCAAGGCCACCTTGGCCGTGACCAGCTGTGTGCTCTTGGGCAGGTTACTTAGCTTCCGTGAGCCTTCGTTTCCTGCTCTCCTGAAAGGATACGATGATATCTGGGACACAGTGTTGCTCAGAACATTAAATGAGACATATGTCTGTTAGCGTAGACGTGGCTCATTTTCCTTGGTCAAGAAAGCCTTTTGTTTCTATGCTTAGTTCTACTTGGGGACTCCAAAGAGGGGAGCCTCTTAGGAGGGGGTCACCACCAGATAGCACCCATTATTGCCATCAGTGCTAGACTACATCATATGTAACTAAGAGCACAGGCTCTGGGGGAATTAGAGGTCGTGGCTCTGCCACATTTCCAATTGTGTGATCTTGGGCAAGTGGCTTGACCTTTCTAAGCCTCTAATGTCCAAATCTGTGAAAGGGGCTTCCCACCACCTATAGCTGTTATGAGGATATAATAAAATGATGCATGTCAATTGCTTAGCACAGCGTCTTGCACACAGCAGGCATTCAGAAGCGCTGCTGTAAGTGTGTTCATCTGGGATTTGTATTCTCAGGTTGGAAAGGCATGTCAATAGTGTTCTCACATGAACTCTGGGTGTTTTCTAATGGTAATATTTCTCTCTTTAGAAGCCCACTTTAATAAAAGAGCAGGCGTTTTTGATTTCTAGAAAAGTCTGATAACGATAAGATCCTGGGACAGAGAAAGAGATCTCTCCTACAATTTCTTGGAGCGGGGATCCAGCTAACAATGAGGTACATGATACTCCTTTCAAGGGGCAGCTGAATGGAGTTGGGGAAGTGGATTTAACTTTTGTGGCAGGCTGGTCCCTAGATGTTTAATTTGCATAAGAAACAGAATGGGACTAAGTGTACTGGGGCCAAACAGGATTTGATACTTGCTTTGATAAAAGGCAGGAGGCTTCTATTTTTTTCTGGTAATTACCTTGCATTCCAAGGCCCCATCCCACCCCCTCCGTGCTTTCTTGCATCTCTGAGATGAAGATGTGGTGGGCGGGGGCGCTGGGAGATGGAGTCCAAGGGCAAGGTCCAAGGGCTAGTTCTTCAAAAACACACAGTCAAACGGATTGGAAGTCCTTAACAATCCCAGGATCTTGGAAGAGCCCAATAAAGAAGGTTTTATGGCAAGTGCATCTGAAAGATGTGCTTGTCTCTTCTGTACCTTTTTTGTTGAATTGCCAAGCAATGGAAGGTACCTGCTCTATTTGAAGATCCAGAATGATTTGTGAAAGCTGGCGCAGACACAAAAGCTTTGTTATTTGCAAAATTCCAATCAACATTTTCATTCATAGCTCGGAAATCACAGAGTGATGAATCTATGTGATCAAAAACAACAGTACAGACTGAGGTGACAGATGGCACTTTAAAAAGAAAGCTAACAAGCATGCATTAAAGTTTAAAAAGCTGCTTTATTAACTTATTTTTTACAGCGCACTGTTTTGAGTTCATTAAATGTTGCATTTGTTAAATGGACTCTATTGTTTCCTCACAGCTCTGAATCAAGCCGTCTACTTTGTGGGAGGCTCTGTTTGCAGATTTGCAAAGGAGTGGGTGTTTCCCTGCAGGCCTCAGTGACTCAAACCTCACAGCACTCCCCAGAACTGACAATTCTCCAGAGAAAGTGGTGGAAAGCATGCTTTATAAAGGAGAATTGAGAAGCAAGAAAACCCTCTGGTGATAGCCTATGGAAATTCAGAGCCCCACCTTCCCTATCTCTCACCTGACCCTGAAGCCACCATTGCTCCTGGGCAGCCAAACCAGCCCCTCCGGGAGGTCTTGGAGTCTCATCTGGCTCATCTCTAAGCAAGGCCTTGCGCTGTCCCTCAGGAGAATAGGACCCAAGTCATGTCTCTCGTCACCCCATCAGTCAGCCCCTCCTCACCTGTCTCCCACCTGCCGTCTCTCCCCTCACCTCCGCTGGCCACCCAGTGGCAGTCACACAGCTGGAGAGCAAAAAGTCACTCCTCTTCCTGTTAAGAGTAGGGGTCTCATTGTCAGTCTAAAAACCCCAAGCAAACAATTTATTCTGATCTTGAACCTTCCCAGAGAACCATTCATGTATTCCTCATTCATTTACCCATTCATTCATTCGCCAAATATGCACTAAATGACTGTGATTTCCAGGCAGTAATCAAATATCTGCCTATATCTGTATCTGTATCACCTGCAGTGGATATAAGGCTATTGACGAAGGGCACGCACCGGCTTTAGAGATAAAGAACAATGAGGCAGAGAAGGCGTTCACTTTAGACAGCCTGGTCAAGGACACCTCTTTGAAGAGAGACTTAAGGTGGGGACTGCAGGCTGGGATGGGCGACGATGGATGTGTGCATGTGTGTATGTGTGCAGGCATGCATGCATGTCCACAAGTACACATACAGGTAGGGGCAGAGCATTCTAGGCAGGGGTGTGGCACTTGAGGCTCCAATACAGGATGGAGACTCTACATTCAACAACTCTCACATGCATTTTTTTTTAAAAAAAGCTCTTTTCAATGTTCAACTTTCTAGGCACCCAAGTGATTTTTCCTGTTTGGTTGGAAGCATGCTCTCTTTTGCCTGACCTTCCATATGGTGAGAATTTCCATCTTTGGTGGATAAGGCCGTTCTGGGTTTTCTTTCTCTTTTGGCTGATGAGTGTTGCTTTGGTTATAGATTTGTCATTTGAGACGAGAGTAATTGTCCCATGGATCTGCAGAAACTAGAACTAACAGCCTTACTCTCTGGGGCCTGTGTCTGTGTTGGCTGACTGCTTTTCCTCCCCAGGAACTTCATGGGAAGCCATTCTCTCATGCCATGAGCTGCTCCTGGCTTCTTCTTCATGCCCAAAGTCTAATCAAGTCACATATCATCATGATTATGCCAGACATGGAGTTTCGCTTTGGTTCATGCAGGGACAGTTTATTGTAGAGGTTATGGCTAGTCCTCAGTTAGCCAGAAGACAGGCAGAAGGCAGAAGTAGCAGAAGAAAAGCCCTATACAGTCATCTTGTGGATGATCTACTGGATGACTATGCGATCACAGCCACACTTCGCTTTGTTCTCAAATGACTACATGCTCTCCATGGAGACCAGGCACATCAAATACACGGCACCCATGCCAGACATCACTCATCAAGACGTTCTTCCTTATGACCTCTAATATGACCTCGAGCATTCTCAAGACTGTACTCCAAGCAGACACTATTAATCAATTGGAATTAGCATATGAGTTGAAACCCATTTGTTGTCCCTCGTGTAAGCAACCGTACTTCCTCTGGGGCTGAGAGGTATGCCCTTTTTAGCACCATGCACGTCTCCTTCGTAGCATTTTTATAGCTGTGATAGTTGTGACTACTTTGCATGAAGTCTCTTTTACTAGACTGAAAACTGCATCAAGGCAAGGGTTCCATCTGGGTTTTTGCTTGGCATTAAATCCTTAGCTCCCAACACAGTACTGAGCCCATAGCTGATTTAGCAAATGATGTGTTGAATGAATGAATGACACAAAATTGTTCTTTGGAAGAACTCAAAGTACTTTTTGAATTGCAACACAACTGCTCCTAACACTAGCCTCTACTGAAGGATATTATTCTGTATTTCTTTGTGAAGTTAATCAGATTTTGGCCAGTCAGCATATACGGAGACCCAGACAGACTCCTGAAGTCCTCTCTGATTTTTCTTCAGCCAACTCTTTGCAGCCAATACTAGTTTTTAATCCTGGTTTTGACTACTAGAGTAACTGTGGGTACTACTGTTTAAGTGTTTCTGAAGAGCAAGCCATTTCCACATTGTGTCAAAGGGGTTTCTGTATAACTATCAATATAATGCACTGCACTCACTTGCCAATGTTTCCTTTTGCTCTGAGAACCAAATTGCATCTTGGGGTGAAGGATGGGATTGTCTTCAAAATCCTACAGCTCCATCAGCACTTTCTCTGCAAAATGCATGCCTGACACTGTGATTAAGTGAATTTTAAATGATCTCAGCTGCCAAATTCTGAGTAGTTCCATTTTTCTGTTCTCCTTGCCCCTGAGCATGTGGGTGGCATTTGTTTAATAAACAGGCAGAATGTTGCATGACATTTTTATGTGTATTTCCCATACCAGTGAATACATTGTGCCTTTCTGACCCTGAAGGATTGCAAAGCCTGTGTGAAGCATTTTGGGGAAAGTTGAAAACTTGGGAAGTTACAAATGTAGTTTCTACTATTCATATAAAACCAACACTCCAACTGTTTTTAAAAACTAAAGGACAATAGCTTGGATTATTAAGAGCAAAAGCAAGTTATAAATCATAGCAGAATTTCCATCATCATCTATAATTCACTATAGAGGGAAATATGAGCAGTAAGTTTATGTTGCAAACTTTCTTCACATGGTAATAATTAAAATATAATGTATTGATCAGCCTTTTGATTTCTGAAATGAAGCTCTTTGCCTGTAGAGCCTTGAGGCTTAACTAGAGGAAAATGGTAATTAAAATAGATTAATTGATCAATAGCTGCAAGAAGCGTGGCAAAATGCTGGAGTAATGTAAATATACAATTATAGTCTCATATATCAGCTATTTTCTTAAAGACACAGACCCAGGGCTGTGATAGACATAAGGGAAAGGACATCAAAAATTCTGAAGCTAGAGATCCTTACTTGCTTGGTCCAGAGCCTCTGGAAATGAGGGGTAGAAAAGTTAAGTGATTTCAGAAGGTTGTGGATGGTTGGCCATTGCATAGAAACCAGGGACCAGATCACATTAGAAATCATTGGCCAAGACATGAGCAATGGAGAAATACTAAATAAGAGCCAAAATGATCTACAGACTATGGGAGTGGATACCGATGATAAGGGATTTTTTGCTGATGTTTTTAAATGTTGGTGAATCAATGGTGTCTCCATTATCCATGACTCATATCCATTCTTCAGAGATCAGCTCAAGGCTACCTGCTGCGTGAAGCCATCTTGGATCCCCCTCCCTCTGGGGACTTTGAACTTTATAAACTTCTGTTGTCTGCATCGTGCATGTGTCTTATCTTCTTAATTAAACTGGTATGTCTTTGTATTTCTCATAATGCTAACAAATGTCATCGTGATTGTTTATTGATGGAATATTACGTCAGGTTCAGTGTAAGACTAGACAGATAGGTGGATATAAAGCCTCAAATCTTAGTGGCTTGATATGATAGAAATTCATTTCTCACACATATGAAGTTGCAAACAGATGTTCCCAGTTGGTGGGTGGTCTTCCCACGGTCACCCAGGGGCTTGAGCTTTTTGCATATCTTGGCTCTGTTCTCCTCTGGGTCCTCAGAGTTCTCCGTATTGAGCCAGGGGATGGGAAAAGGGTCTGGAGGATCTCCAATGGGGAATCTAGAAAGACCAGCCCTGGAAGTGGCACACACACACACTTTATTGGCTGGAACTCAGTCATGTGGTGGCATCTAACTTCAGCTGTCTGCCCAGCAAGAAGAGAAAATGGGTTTTGGTGAACAGATACCATCTAATCTATATGGCTACTTTTGGGGAAATTATCTGTCTGTTTATCTACCAATTTACTGAAGAGTGGGTTTTCTTATTCCCATCTTATAGATAAGAAGACTGAAATATGGCAAGATTAAGTTACTTGCTGGGTAAGTGCTGGTGCTTGAATTTGACCCATAGTTGTCTGGTTCTAAAGCAACCTCACTATATTTGCTTACTAACTGTGTTGCTTACATCATTCCATTGTTTTCTATTTCGCCATCACCATTCTTGTTCAGGCCTTACAGTGTCCTAACTGACCTGCCATAATCACTCCATG